GGCTAAACGAATATATAGTAGACAAATGAACAGAATATTTCAAGATTCTGCTAAATGGGGGTAAAAATGCTTGATCAGTTTGGATGATATTAAGCAGTTTTATTATGGTGAAGACCATTTCATCAGCAAGAAAGATTTGTTCTAGGCAATTGGCAAGTCAGCTGGTCTGGACGAAGTAACCTGAAATGCTGTGCGTACAAAGGCTACAAATGTATTAGAAAATTATATGAAAGGACTGTAGTTTTGTCCCTTTGTAGGAAATGAGATACTAGGAAATGTTATTCGAGATTCCTTACTGTTTATAGTACCAAAGAAAGTCTACTCAAGAATCGTATAAGCTAAAATTAGAAATATTGTCGATTGCCTGAGCGATATGGATTGAGAAACTCAAGTTGCACATTGGAGCATAAGTTGCAAATTGGGACTGTCTTCACTTTAAGGTAGGTTATAGAGAAGTCCACAGAGAAAGAAAAATGGTTCTCTATCTGCTTAGTGCCTCACACTTTGGATTGATCGAATATCTACTAGTCTTTCACAAAAGCTCGTTTTCCTTTCAGATTCATTCAAAAATCTTTTGCAATTGCACTAAAGAGGAGCAGAGCTATTTCCTTTTATCAATAGACCTCTGTATAACTTGCTTCAAAGTGAAGATAGTCCCAATGTACAACTTCAATAGCAATCTAAAATAAAGTGGTTTACATCAACATTACATCAACATTATACCTTACATTACATCAACATCATTATCAACCTCGTTTACTTACTCCAGACCTGCTTGCCAATTGCTTAGAGCAAATCTTTCTTGCTGATAAAGTGTTCTTCACTATAATAAACCTGATTAACATCATCCAAACCCATCAATCATTTTTACCCTCTTTTAGCAGCATCTTGAAATATTCTGTTCATCTGTCTACTATATATTCGTTTAGCCATATATAATTCTCTGTGGACTTCTCTATAACCTACCTTAAAGTGAAGACAGTCCCAATTTGCAACTTATGCTCCAATGTGCAACTTGAGTTTCTCAATCCATATCGCTCAGGCAATCGACAATATTTCTAATTTTAGCTTATACGATTCTTGAGTAGACTTTCTTTGGTACTATAAACAGTAAGGAATCTCGAATAACATTTCCTAGTATCTCATTTCCTACAAAGGGACAAAACTACAGTCCTTTCATATAATTTTCTAATACATTTGTAGCCTTTGTACGCACAGCATTTCAGGTTACTTCGTCCAGACCGGCTGACTTGCCAATTGCCTAGATCAAATCTTTCTTGCTGATGAAATGGTCTTCACCATAATAAAACTGCTTAATATCATCCAAACTGATCAAGCATTTTTACCCCCATTTAGCAGAATCTTGAAATATTCTGTTCATTTGTCTACTATATATTCGTTTAGCCATATAATGGATACTGATCCTTGTTTTCTTTTCCGAAATTTTGGCACTGTCGTTCGCTTAATGTATTTTTCCAATGTTTGGGTTCAATTTCGCGTTTTCCCTCATTTTGAGACCAAATACTAACAATCAGTTCCAGTTACATAGAAGAACTTATAGCTTCGCCCTTTCCATATTTCATTTGTGCAGAGAGAATAATGCACTTTAATATTAAAAGTTCCTTTTTTTTATGATATGGTCCCACTTCCAAATAAAATAAAGGAAATAAAAATGTTTTTTTTAATAGCGATATAACAATTTTACTAAACAATCCATCACCTATTCATTAAAAGTAGTTCAGATTAGGTATATATTACTTTAGTTTATAAAACAGATATTAATATGACTCATTTCCAGGGAAGTATATACAATTTAAATTACCTCTAAGAATCAGTAAATATATAAAACAAAATGTTAAATTGCAAATATTAAATAAAAAAATCAAGATATTCTGCAAAGTATTTTTGAATTAAGTTTTATTATTATAATTTTATAATTTTTATAATAGAGGCCTTCTTAAGCGATCTCCGTATAGAATAAATGAATTTAAATTAAAAAAAAAAATAATGAAAAATAAAAACAAAAATAATAAATTTAAAAAAAAATAATTTTTTACAATTAAATTATTGTATTAATATTTGTTCGTTAATATAATCAATAAAATATAACCAAAACGTTATTATAGCACTATAACTAAGCCATTTATGAGTACTGAGTGGTGTGGTAGAGGCCTGTAGGCACCCACCCCAGTAGCGCTTTTCTGCCGCTTAAGTACATTTTACACGGAACTACTTCAAATATTTTAAAAAGTAATCAGTGTTTTAGAAAGAGAAATGTATTCTCCAGATATTTTATTTCGGCACGTTTTGCATTATTGTTGACCGTTTAATTACAAACGACGCTTGATTTTCAACTTGAAAATTTTTTTGTAAAAAAAATTGACTTTACCGATTTTTTTTAATGCCTAAGCCAATTAGTTTTTAATATTTTTTCATGTTTTATTATTCTCTGACTATCCAGCTTTAATAAAAGACCAACTATCATGAAATTAAGCCAAATGCTGATTCTCAGTAACAAAAAAACTAACTAAAGTCAAAGTCGTCAATCCGCCATGTTTGGACGCCATTTTGGGGCAGTTCGTTCACTTTTTTTTGTGGGAACATTGGCTTTTTTTTAATAAATTGTCACAAGGAACACAACGATATGCAATTTATAGGGATGTGGGGGGGGTGCACGGTAAGGGGGTCTGGCCCACAGACTAATAGGTCTCAATGTGGTTCGTGGGCTAAAAAGTTTGAAGACTCCTCATCTATATTGATAAGCAACTCGCCCTGGTAGTATAAAATTAACTTAAATTGAATTCATCCTTTTCTACTTTTGTTCATAATTTGTAAGAATTATGTGAATTGTTTATCTCTATAAAACATTTTCAAGCTCCTCTCATTCTTATTGCTCTTGTTTCTTGTTCATAAAGGTTTTGACTTATTATTTACTTTTACCATAACTCTAAATTTTTGTTTACAAGGTCAGTGGCTGCTTCACATTTCTCATGAAGCCCAGGAGTTAGTTATGCATTATTCTTTTGAAAGTCTAATGGATTCATATCATCTATCATTTATTTATTTATATATTCCACCCTCTCATGCCACTATGGCAATACGTCTGTTTGCAATAGTGTGTTAATAGGCACGAATGCTTAATAACACACTACTACTAGTTAACATGAGCAAGGCTGTGCACACATCTTGTAGCTCTTCTGTTCTATATGCTCTTCATTCTTCTTTATCCATTTTGGTGTAGCTTCTTGAATCTGGAGGTCTTCCTCATCTGTGGGCACCAATACAGAAGTGAGCGGGTCCCACCACCATCTTTCATCCATTTATGAAATCCTTAAACCGCAGGAAATTTTCCTCACTAACTGAGAAAACTCATTTTCAGTGAGGACATAGATTCCTGCGGCTCTTTTCCCCACCGCCGATTTATGCTTCAATCGTGTCCTCCCGGACTATCTTCTTCCATCTATCAGGCCCCTTTGTAATCCTTACTTGCAGATTGTCCAAAAGTACTGTAGAGCCTTCATTCTTATAAAAATATTTCGTCACTTCTTCTGACAGGAGGAGGTCGAGAAGCACCACCCACCCCTCTCCGTGAACCATGAAGTTGTCCGGTATGCTCTGGTGACCCGAAGCAGAGCTGTCCTCTTAGGGTTATAGCCTTTTTTTTGTTGTGTGAGGTTCCGGAACCAGAAGGGAGACGCATATCTCAGGATATCCTCCACAACAACTTTATAAATCGTGATTGTGGCTGGATACCTGAGGCCCCAGAAGGCCCTAGGCGCCCCCCACGTTAGTTAGACCATTCATTGCTAAGGTCACCCTACCTGCCAGATATTCCAAGTGAAGTGTCACATTTAAGCCTAAACCTAACCTAACTCCTAGATAGGTTACCACCTCACTTGGACATATACTCTGGCCTTCTATGTTCATTGCTATAGGGTGAGGCCTGTTAGTCTTGCCCTTGACGAGAATGGCTTGAGTCTTGGCAGCACCAATTCAATCATCAGCATCAATTTTAGTATATTAATGTATATATACGGTATTAAACTTTCCTTACTTATATGTGTGTGGACCATAGACTGCTACATCGTCAATCCCCTGAGGCACCCTTGGGATGGAGGTGGTCGTGGATAATATTGGTTGTGTCAGGATGGTTTTACTGGTCGCAGGATTACAGCACTGGTACCGGCACCACTTTACATCCTCAAAGGTGTTTCTAATAAAATTATAACTTAATTACAAATATTTGTAAATTTATCAGCTGCATGGGAATGGAATTTTTCTTTAGTTACTTTAGCTTCTAGTTGCTACTTTCATAATTTTGTTTGAATTATCTATGATATGATCGATTTGCTTCATAACTGTTTTGTTGATTATGGTTGATGTGTTTTAATTGTTGTGCAATGCATTACTCAACTCCAATGACTGCTTGTTTTTCTTGCTGACAGAGACTTTAGAAGTTCTAATAAATTAAAATAGGGTGATATTTTAATCCTATAAAATAAAAAAACATTAGAGTCAGACCTGCTCCATTTCTTTGTTATGATGCAGGTTCCTCTCCAAGTATGGGTGAACTCATAATTTCCATTGGTTCCTTGAGCTGGGCTGTATGATGTAGAGATTACATAATAATGCATGTCTATTGTCTATACTTGAAGAAGAACTAAATATTTTTAAAGCAATGCACTAAAAGTTTTAGGATATACTAATGCTTCATTGATAATAGCTTGATGACCTAGACATGAAATGAGGGAAACAATGTACAATGTCTTTGTTGTTTTTTAATCTTATGCCAAATATCTACGATTTAATGGTAAACATAAGTAATTTGAATTATCTAATCATGTAATTTATCATTATGATATGATTTAATGTATAAAAAAAAAAAAATTATATAAAGTTTATACAAAATGAACTAGAAATTCGACTATTCAACTTCTTACAATCTATATCTTTATAATTTTTTTGTATATGTATATATATTTAATCTTTATGGTTTGTAGAAAGATGTCAACAGTGGAAAATCGATGGCTAGCACCTTGTCAAAACAACTTCTAATTGAAAGATTTCCGCGTATGGATCCTGCTACTCTTGCTTTAATTTTGGAAGATACAAATCATTCATTACATGAGGCAACTTGTCTTCTCTCTTCTGCTGGCCATTTTCAAGCTGATCCTAATCAAGAACCAGAACAAAGAGAACCAGATGCCCCAGTAAGTTTCAAAAGTATTATAAATTCCAACTTATCATCCTCATTTTTTTGGTTATTCCTGTGCTATTTTAAGTGGTCTCTCTTTATATTTTAGGAGCCAACACGCAATACCCTTTCTAGGGAAGAAGCGATTAAACAAGCCGACGCTTATGGTGATGTTGCTAGTAAATTATATGAGCTCCGTAAAGATTGTATAAAGAAATCTCAGGATGCATATCGAGAAGGAAATTCTTCAGTGGCTCTCTACTATTCTGAAATGGTAGTGTTTAATTATTATTATTATTTGATTATCCCTTAAGCGATTCATAACAGAAACCAGAGAGATTTGAGATGTTTTACATTTTTAATTCACTGCATATAATCATGCATATACTTACAGTGATCAATGATTCCTAAATATATAATTTATCTTTTTCCCTTGTAAAGTATCAGAGTGGGGGAGCAATTTGTGCTTTTATCTGCTGCATCCAGATTTGAATCCACCCCTGACATAAAATTATTTACCCTGTTTTGTCACCTACAGATCGACCCTGGACTCTTTGTGCCCTCCTGGAACACACCCAGCTTGTATAAAGTTGATATTCTTAATTATGGAAAACCTAATTAAAAATGTTAGTCTTGAAACAGTACTTCCTTTCTTATTGCTGAATGCAAAACCTTCATGGGTTCTAAGAGATGAAGATTTTTCCTTCTTTCATTCAAAATTTTATTTTATTTTGTTTGTTTACAATTAGAATTTTTAGAAGAATAAAACTTGGTGTAATGTGGTTAAAAGAATTATTTCCTCCATTATTTATTTATTATAAATACCAGAAGTAAATTATTTTCACTTACATTCTATAATAATTCGACTTAAGTTCTTCGTACAATGTTCTTTTAAAAAATAATTATAAGTTTTATCAAAACTACCATTTGCATTTATTGTGATGTGATATGTGTTATTTACTAAGTAAATGAAGTTTGAGATAACCTAAGTTAGTTAATCTTTACTTTAGAAATTATTCATAAAGTTATTGTATTATATTTAAATTCATATGTGTTATAGACCTATTATTTATGCTAATGTCTTATTTTTAGGCAAGATGGTATATGGAAAGAATTGAAAAATGCAATTCTTTAGCTGCTAAAGCAATATTAAATGGATATGAAGGTTTCACAACTCTTGATTTACACTTTCTTCAGGTTTGTCACTGAATTATTCTAAACATGTTCTATATGTTATAATGAAAACATTCAAGCATACATTCTTATGTAATACAGTGTTATTGTTTTAAAATGCAGATTAAATCAAACTGACCTTTTAATGTTTCGCAAATTCATCAGGACATGGTTGCATGCATCAGGACAGATAAAACAAAATCACTTCATTCCTTGACATCCAAACATATACTCCAATGTATGCAAACATATAACAGTATTGGATGTCATGGAGTGATATTTTTCTCTCCTGATAATGCCAGAATTGGTTAAATCTTGACAGATTTGTTTGTGTTTACCTACATTTAGAGACACAAGGCTAGCTGGTTGGACTTTTCCAGCTATAGCTTAACTTGTATTTTCTATTGTTTAGTTTTTCACTTATTTATATTAACAGATTCTATGTGTTAGTATTCTTGTATGGCATTGTTTTGTTGTATGAAACACAATGTTTGTTACCAAATAATTTTTTTCCTATAATATTCTATAGAACTGAACTTTTTAGAAGGAATCCTTGAATCAAATAACCATAAGAACTATTAATTTTATTTTTCATTAAGTTGCTCATTTGTTCTCAATAACTGCATTGGTACACTCTTATTTTTTAAAAGTATTACATAATTATTTGATGCCATGTATGTTCAAACTTATTATTATAAAGCTCAATATAACTATTTTTTTTTTTTAGGTTTCTGAGGCCTTGAATGTTCTTGACCTTTTTGTTGATGAAGTGATTCGGGGACTTCATGAATCAAAGGATAAAAAAGCAATAGTTTACATTATAACAGGTCGTGGTTTACATTCTGCTGGTGGTCGCCCTCGTCTTAAGCCAGCAGTTCAGTCCAGGCTTCTAAAAAGAGACCTTCGGTAATTATTTGCTATTCATATCCTAGTTATTGTATTCTGCCTGCTTCTAATTTAACATATACAAATTGTAAAGGTATCATTATAGAGGGTGTCCACAGATAGGGTAATAGTCAGGGTTTTTTTTTTTTTTTTCAAACTCCTCAGAAAATCAAGGAATTTTTCTGTAAATTTATTGCTGAAAAATAAAAAGTTTTATATGGCTTCCGCCTGAAGGAGAAGGAAGCCTTCGAAATTGGTGGTTCAATCTTGAGATTTGGAGAAGAATTAACAATGATATGGCTTGCCAATCAAAAACACCATCTATAAATAATATAAACTCCTCCTCTCTCGATCATAGAGGCCTCAAGTCGACAAAATGAGACATGTATTCAATGACAGCACTACAATTAATGTAAGGTTGTGTGGATGTGAACCCTATGTCTTGCATTATCTCGAGAATAGTACATTTTTGGGCTTGAAAATGCAGGATCCGATAGTTTCGAAGAATGCTGTACGCATCAAAATCTTCAAGGTCCAATTTGCCCCATATCGATTTTGAGACCTACCACCGTTCCTGTATTGAAGCCTAGCAAAATGTTTGTATCGACTTCATTTATTTTAGAAAGAAAAACAAATGTGAAGAATATGGTTCCCTAACTCCCCCGTGAAATTCTGAATCCAACGGTACTCCATTCATGGTATTTGAGCATGACAGGAGCTTATATTTGGTACAAAACAGATTTCTATTTCCTTACTGATTTCCTTACTGTAATAATAGATGTGGGGATTAAAAAATCAGGTCCTTAAACTTTTTTTTTTATTTTGTTTACTTGGTGTACTTCTGGGGCATTTAGTTTTGCTCATTTTCAACTCCCTGAATTTCATGATAATTAATTTATTGTAATATTTTTGAAAATCGTGACAACAGATTTTATTGCATTTCACCTTTTTCACTTCTTTATTTTAGGGAAGAGGAACATGAAATTGTATCGAAGATGGAAATACAACTGACAGTCTCATTTAGTGTCAATATCAATGAGTCGTTCATTGAAAGAATGACTAATTCCAATTTTAACATTTTTCACTTAGCATATTTAATAGTATAGCTCATTAACAAAATTCCTATATTTTTCAAAGGTCAGATATATTTATAATTTTTAATATTTCTGCCATGCCAGTAAAAAAGATAAACATTTATCATCCTTCTTCATGCTTCTCAGTGTGGAGGTGCATCCAGGCATCGCATGTCTCACGAGTGCCCTCATCTCTCCTATTGACTTCTCTCTTGATTGTTCCAGCCTGAATATATGGCCTTTGTAAGACTGTTAAGGTCTACCCTTAGGTCTTTTTCTTGTTGATCGGGCTTCTTAGAAGTTTTTCTGGGTTCTGTATGACCATTGGGCAGATATGACCATACCACTTAAGCTATCTTTTCTCGAGTATTTATCTCAGTGGCTCGACATCTAACTCCTCTCTAATTCTGTCATTTCATTCGCAATCTCGTCTGGTTTTTCCCACTACTCAGGAGATACCTCATTTCAGCTGTAGTTTTTCTATTTTTATGTTCGTTTAGTGTTACCCAGCTTTCACTACTGTAGAAAAAAGTTAGAAGCTACACTGCTTTATATATCCTTAGTTCAACATCTCTTCCAACTTCCTGCTTGCCTGCGATGGAGTTGCAGATTTGGAAGTAAATATTATTTGCTTTTCTAACCCAGTTATTAACCTAATCATCGACTTTCCCTTTCCTACTTACTTTAACACCCAAATATGAATAGTCATCTGTTAATTCATGTGCCTGACCATTGCATATTATATTGATTGCCTATGGCTCCCTTTCCAGATGTTATACTTTACTTTTATTTGTATTGATAGGGAGGCCTTTTCTTCCTAATTCCTTTTGCAATTCAAGCATAGCTTGCTGTAATTTCTCCTGAGAGTCAGCCGCTAGGACTAGATCATCTTCGTACAACAAAGCTTAGACTTGATTATATCTCAAATTTCATAATTCACTATGCTTCTGACTTATCTCCTTTTGCACATTTTGTGTATTTTGCTTAAGCTCCAGTATGGTCACAAAAAGATTGTTTACTAGAGGGGATTGACAAATAGGCCTGTAATTCACTTTGAGATCAAGATATGACTTCTGATGACATAAGTAGTGCTTTAAAGGGCTTGATGGTGTCCCATATGAAATATTCAAAATTCTGAATGAAGAGAAGGTGCCAAAATCATGGGCTGACTTTTTAAAACATTTAGAAACAGGTTCTATTCATATTGGTTTCGATGTTTTGAATGAAGTATACCTTGAATTGGTTGGTTAGGCTTGTGGAAATGGAGGAATGGATGGAATGGATACCCTAAAATATGCATCAAAAAGCTAAAAACCAAATGTTATCAATCTAATTCTGTTCTTTCGAAACATAATTGGCCTGCACAGGTGAAAGTATTGTTAGATACTATAGAGAAAGGCGATTTAATTAGAAACTGACCCAGTCATAATAAGAGCTAATATTAGCAGGATATTAAAAAAATATAAATGACATTTGCAGGAGGGTGACAAGAAAGCATTGCATAGTTCAGCTTACAGTGAACATTTGAACCTTTTTTTTAACAATGGTAGAATCTCCCAATACCTGCTGATGCCTTCTAATTTCAAATATGCCAGAGTATTAATGCAGATCCGCCTATCAGGAAAATACTTGATTAAAATTTTAAAAATCAATCCACAACTTGGGTGCAAAATGTGCAATACAATGGAAAAATAAAGACTTTATCATCTATTATTTAAATGCCCAATATATAATAATTCGAGAGTAAGAACTTAACAGGATATGGGAAGTCTTGATGGGATCGAAATATTCATTATAGAAGATTCGAGAAAATTATATTTTTTCACCTCTAATATATGTAATTATATAGATTTGGTGGGTTAATCTAAAATATTGTCCTCAGAGTATTTTAATAAAAATGAAGATTGGATGTCGGCATGGATTACAATAAATGTTGAACGGATTTGTTTGAGTGCTGTTCTCTTGATTACTTCTTTGTTTATATGGATGATCTAGTAATTTAATTTTAGAACATGATTTGATACTAATATTTAATGGGATAATCATGGAGTTATTTTAATCGACTATCTTCAAACAGGAAAGACCATTACAGGAGCATATTACGCATCATTACTTGACAAGCTGAAGGCAGAACTTGTGGAATAACAGCCAGAAAAAGAAAATCCTGTTTCACCAAGACAACGCACTATCTCACACCTCAGCGGTTGCCATGGTGAAAATCCACGAATTATGGTTTGAACTGCTTGACCATCACTCTTACTCACCGGATCTAGCCCCAAGCGACTTCTTTTTGTTCCCTTATCTTAAAATTGCACTCGGAGGACAGAGATTTTTATCAAATGAAGAGGCAAACACCTTCGTGAACAATTATTTTGCAGAGAAAAACGCCTAGTACTTTTTGGATGGGTTACAGAGATGGGAGCATCACTAGGAGAAGTGTGTATTACAAGGGGAATGTTGAAAAATAAAAATAAAATTTTTGTTAGGTTGGAAACTTTTCAGACCACCCACGTAAATGTCAGAAGAATAAGAAATGTCATGAAATACCTGTTATACATTACGCTCTAATTAACCAAAATTTATTGAGTAATAGATATAGGTCACCAAATATTTTTGTTTATTACCTGAAATTTTAAATTATGATGGTTTGATTTCTCTAATAATGTTAAATAATAATTTTCATCTGTTGCTAGGTATGTTGAACAGAACCCTGGGATGTTGAGAGTGATAATCCCAAGAACTGCAATGACAAGCTACAACAGAGAAGTAGCTGTATGTGCTTAAAATGCTGCACAATTCACTTAAAATTATGTTGCTTAGTTGTAGAATTTCATGGACTGATTTGTCACTTAATACCAAAGCCATTTTTGTTTGTTTCTTTTAAAACATGTTTTTGCAGTGAGATTGCAAAAGTATTGATAGTCTTTATTTTTAATATATATCTATTTTTTTTAGAACAGAGGTGTTCATAGAAAAATAAAAATGTACTTCTTGAAATTAGTACTGTTCTGGAATTAAGTGACCTTTTAAGTTTAATTAAATTTTATTGTGATTACTATAAGAATGTTAACAGATGTTTGTTTAGATAGGTAGGGGATGCCATTATCATTATATTTTGTTTAAGATAGATCAGATGATATGCTTCTAATTATTTTTAAATGAAGTCAATTTTATTGTTGAAGTTTTCTTGAATTTAAAGTGAGTATTTAATATTTCTCGCACAGGCAGCAATCTAGCTGTAGTGAAGAACAATATTTAAAATGAAAGACAAGTTTTCATGTTAGTTATATATTTTAGATGTACCTAAAGCTTTGGATAATTAAGGTTTTTCCATAAAGTAGAAGATAATACTGTCCTTCATTTGAAAACTATAGTTGTTTCTGTTTTATTTCTTATCTATTTTCTGGTAATGAAGAGGTAGATATTAGGCCTTTTCATTTGAGATAAGAACTTAAATTTTTATCCAATTGTTTTAATAATTGAAATCGAGAGTTTACAGAAAAATACTGTTCTTCTCGCAATTTGTTATGTTTCTTGGACACATCATTGATAACATTGATGGTAACAAGTTGTATATTATGATATCAGAAAAAAATATTTTCAGATGAAATTATTTTAATTGATTAATGAAACAAGTTTTGTAGTTTCGAAATATTTCATTTGATGCATAAGGTTCTTTTGTGTAAAATCGTATTTGTTTTATTATCTTTATCAAATATACAATGCCGATGAAGGTGAATTTGTGCCTCCCTTAATTTATTGGGTTTACAAATTCTAACTGAATAAATAAAACAGCTATTTATTTTTCTGAGTTATATTTACTCATAATGCTGTTAGAGTTTTTCTTTATTAAAACATTGGTTTGTTATTTTTAAAACATTGATTCTTAATTCAAGCCTTTGCTTTATCTTGGTTTAATTACTTTCTGTCGGGGGTTATCATTCTATGCAATACATATTGTTCAATAAGAGATATTGTTGTTGATGTTATTATTTATGTATATATTATTATTTATGTATTTTCTATTATATTCATCCAAATGTATCCAACTTGGCTCTATGGTCTAGATAAATTCCATAAAAATTAGATTTAAAGTGAAAAGCATAAAATAACTATTATTTTTAATATATACAAATTCATTGTAATCTATTTGCTGTTGACATAGATTAGGCTACTAGGCCCTCGCTCCTAATCAAGTGCTTTTCTGTTTCTAACTGAATCAGAATTTGAAAGAGGTTCTGTGTCAGCATTTAGTATATATCATTTAGTATAGTATTTTCAAATCACCATCTTCCAAAATACGAGATTATAAAATTTTAGGAAGAGAATTGAGTTTAACTTCATTAATTTTTAGTTATTCTAGTCATCTTTTTTTCAAACATGGTTAACAGTGATTGAATTTAATTCCTTTCACGTATCAGATTTGTTTTGTAAAACATCTCTGATGCTGAATTTTTCCTAAACCGTTTTATCGAACATTTACCATTGTTTCATTTATAAGTTCATGTAAATAAGCTTTAAAAATGGCTATTGCACCCTTATCCATCTGTTGGATCAGAGCTATGAAGTGCATTTTAATTTTATTGTGTTTAGTTTGAAAGGTAGATTTCACAAGTGTATTTATAAATTTGAACAATTTTATCACCAGCTTCAGTACAATGTAAAATTTCCAATTTGTAATGCTGGATGACAGATTTTCATTATCTAACTTCTCTTTATATTGTTACAAGTAACTAGCTCCCAATTAAATCAATGTTTCTTAAGATTTTTTCTTGGTATAAACCAAAGATCATATTTAAAGAAATGAATGAATCAATTAAGTTAGTATCTTATGAAAATACTATATTTTTAATACAGACAAACCAAATATGTTTACAGTTCTCCGACTCATAATAACAGAAATAAGAGCCAACACAGTAAAATGATATTAATGTTGTCAACGGTAGGGCTACAACTAAACAGAAGATAGTTAACAATACAACATTTTATTATATATTTTTTTTATTATTCCATATAATGATACTTAGTGGGTTATAACTTGGAAAGGGCCACTACAGCGAATTCCTGTATTAAGGGTAGCCACATAGTAAGGCATATTTGTATAGTGTTTGGTTCTATTTTAAAAGTAAAAAATCTTGGATAATTGTTTATTTATTTGTTTTTTTAGATTTAAAGCCATCATTGTTGTGCACAATTCTGCATTAAAATCTGATTTTTTTTATCATCTTTACCAATCTCTAGGGCTTTAGTTAGAGGAGTTTTATCTGTCATCTTGTTTTTCATTTGCCTTTTGTTCCTGAGTGTTGCTTATTGCTTATTGACTGATCTGAAAATCACAGTAATATTTTTCTACTTTTTTAACTAGTTGGTTTTCTTATTTTAATAAAAAAAAAATGGTAAAATAGAAGGGCATCCATAATTTGTTAAGATTTTAACCACTTTGAAACAGTAAGTTTTGGGTTTAAATGTCATATAATTTTTGTGAAATAGTTAATGTAGTTTGATATGGTCTGAGAAAACTATTATTAATTTTGATAAACAACTGTTAATTTTTTTTTTCTTTCTTTAAATTAATATAAATCTAGTTTCTTATTCTCTCAAACATGATGTTTCCGTTAGGATTCTTCAAGTTTTAAGAAGACATTATATATGTATAATGTTAAAGTTTGTGTGTGAATATGGATATATATAAACATACAAACATTAAAAAATAATTTATAATACAATAATTTCTGTCATCGTTAAAGATTAGGTGATTGATATTTTACAGAACTTTCTCTTAATTTTGCTTATGCCTCTTTCTAATTTTAAAATATCTAAATGTAGTTTTTATTATTACATAGTTTTGTTTTTTGACATTTGTTATTCAGTTCAATTAGTTTTAAATTAATAATAAATAAAAGTATCATGTTTTGTTGGACAATATAATAGAATGAACCTCACGATTTTCTTCAAGTGTGATAATAACTTGATTAATTGTTTAGTTATTTAAGAAAGTAGAGTTTAATGAACCTCCATATTTTTAGTATTGTGCAGTTTCATATAAGTTTACTTTCCTACACTTTCAGTTTGTAGAAATTGTAAACTTGGTAAATTTTAGGACTCAGCTTTTTAATTAGCTTAGTCCTATTTATAATGTGCTATGATGAAATTTTAGTGTCATAATTGTATTATGTGATATTAAAGCTGAAAGTTGACTCGAATTCTACTCAAATGTAAAAGTGTACAAAGTAGTGTATTTAATTTTTAATGTAAATGAGTCATTTTGAAGCTCATAAACATAAATGAAGGACAGGTATAATGATTGTTAGTACATCAAAATAAAAAAAAAAACTTGGTGTACATGTCTTCTACTTTTTCACATTACATTTTTTATATTTCTATTAAAAGAAAACTATTTTTATATATTTCTATTGCTGCATATTTTATTTTCTAATGGGTTATAAAAATAAAATCAAAATTTATTTTCATAATTATTTTAATATTTCACTTGTATTGTTAGGTGTAATAATTACTGTTCTCTTTAATGTTTGATCTAGTAGTATATTGTTTTCAATTTTTAGTTATATGTTTTATGTATATTAAGCTAAACAGCAGTCATGGAAACTCATTGTTACTCTTTTAATTACAATGATAAATGTTGAAAGATTATTTTATTGTATAACTGACAAAGAGCAACTACTCTCAACAGAATGCTTTATTCTTTAAATATTTTTGGAAGAAAACTTGGATCTTTTACTCCTTTAGAGGTATATATTTTTTTCTCTCCCTAAAATTGATTCATTAATCCGATGTCAAATTTCTTAATTTTTGATAATCACAGATATTTTTGTAGAACAAAATAACTAGTCATTGGTAGTACAGACCAGGGTCTGGCCAAACTTTAGTGTAATTTGGCCAAATTATTGGTGATATGAAATTGAGTTACCAGTGATTGTGGTTAGCTTTGTACAGAAATTGAATGATATAAGAAGCAGTCCTATATTATATTATTGCTAATATTTTATCTTTTTTTTATGCTGCATTTTTGTTAAAATATTTCAATAATAAACCGTAAACTTTATTTGGGTGAAGGAAGCTCTTATAGTTTTATTTCCCTCATATAGTTTTATTAAAAGGGGATTAAAATAAAAAATAAATACTTCTTGTATCAATTGATTTCTTTATCAGTTTAAGATTTTACTGTTGTTTAGTGTTACTTTGTTCTATTCTTGAAATAAATATTTGTTGTTTTTTCAAATAAAGATTTTATATCTTTTGTCAATTATAATTTTAATTACTTTCACCATTGTGATTGGTTTTAATATTGTTATATATATTAAAGAAATGCTCAACAACCTTATTGAAAGGTGAGTTGCTAGTGATAATGATTTCAATCTTTTATTGTTAATTCATATTAAGCTTAAAGTAATTGAATTTGTTACACTATATGTGTTGTAGCTTGGAGTTTCCAGCACGTTGCTATTCTAAAATCCCCAAGCCATGTCATTTTATCTAATGATTTCTTGCTTCATAAACCAGCGGTTGAAACTTGATAAAGTTTTGTTTTAACAGTTTCTGTGAAACTTTAGAGAAAAAGTTCTAAGAAACTTTTTTATAATGAAGTTTCAGTTATATGGTAAAAATTAAAATTGTATTTAGTCAGGTTCTTAGAAAAACTTCTATTAATGAAAATTGGCTTAAGTGAATTATACATGATTCTAAAGTGTATCTATATTGGCAATGAAAATCCCAGTGATATCGAAACATTTTAAAAATAAAAATTGTTTACCGTTTGAAACCCTGTCAAACCATATTCAGGTCTATATTATCGTAATCTTATTCGATAATCTTCCTTGTACATTTATCTAGATCTGAAGTTATTATCAATCACCTATCCAATATATTTGGGTTATCCATCTGTCATTGTTATCGATTTTACATCTGATTTCCTATACTTTTTTTGTCAATCAATTTATTAATTAGGTGAATTTTGGTTCTTTTCAGTGTAAAAATTATAGCTTTAAGGTTTTTGTAATTGTTGCTCCTGAGGTGCAATAGATATCAAGCATTTATTGGCCCTATTTCTAATATTCAATTATTATTGAGGCATTCTCTTACAAATACTGTGTACTCAGTATTCGTCATTTCAAGAAGCTTATTCTCTTATACCATATACGTTATAATTTATAACATAGGCCCTTGACAAAATCAATCTTAAAGGCTTATTCTGCCCCAATTTTAGCTATAACACACTATGAATCTTGTACTATCTTGATTATAAATTCTCGAACTATATCATACAGTTTAAAAGTAAGAAAAATACGTAAAAATATTGTTTTTAAAAAGCGTTTGTTCAGGAATCATTCATATATTTTTTCTTATCTTCAAACATTTTGATCTTCCTGTATAAAATAATTTAATATTTGCTGATGAAGAGCATTAGATTTTCTATCTCAATGTTATATTCAATTTCCTAAATCCTTCATTACATTCACTATATTTACTATTATAAGTACATCGAAAGTATGCATTTTAGAAAAAAAAAAAGATATAATAAGCTTATGTAAATTGGGCAAAGAAATTCAAAGCTCCCCAACCTTCACTAGTGAGGAAGCGAAAAATTGAATTATTCATTTTTGTTAGTAAACACCTAATTTGAATTATATTGAAACAATCTCCAGTATTGCAAAAAAAGTTGTATAAATCGACTAAGTTTACCATCTTGCATTATGTTATATAATTTATCAAAATTGTAAAATAATGAAACTACTTAATTGTTAACAAATCAGCAATTTAATAAAAAAAAAAAAGAAATTGATCATATGAACCACATATCATTGCCATATAAATTAATTATTTAAAATAATCCATGAACCAATGAGTCCAGTATATTCTTACACTTCAGTATCATAATTGTAAAATTACTCTATTAATATATTAAATTTATTTTATAACTTTTATCAATATTTAATAGGACCACCTGTGTCTGTGTAGGTATTATTTTTAATCTGGTGTATATATTGAAAATAAAGTGTATGACTGAAGTAGGAAGGAAAATAATAGTGCCCCTAGACAATGAATACTGATCATTCCAGGAAATCGGAAGAATATTATATGGACCCTTATTCTGCTGTAAAAGATATTATACAGCAAAATGGAAGACAAATTCTAGTGGCCCATTATTTCTGATTAATAACAGGACGCCCAAAAACATCACTTCCACATAGTTAAAAAAAAAATCTAGATATTAGTGGCAGGACCTACTATTGAAGCAGGTAATGGTTAGTTTCAATTAAGCAACATAGTTTACAAAATAATGAATTTCAAAGCAGAAGAGATAAAAGATAAAATTATGGAAGTCAAAAAGTGCAGGGACATAAATATAGCAATGAAAATGAAAAACATAGTTCACACTGTTTAACAAGCATACTTGTCAACCCTGTCTCCCATTTGAATGCTGGTGGAATGAAATCCCCTGAATTTAAAGATGCTATAATAGAAAAGATTAAATATGTTGATATTTTCAAAAGAAATTTAATTTGGAATAAATTTTTCGAATATTTAAATCCTGGGTAATATGCGAATAAATATATTGAAAAAAAATTGTTCCAACTAAAGAGAAAGTTGGTTCAAATATATATATATTTTAAGAAGAACAATGTTGAGATTTGGATTTTTCACCAGAAAGAACTTAAATACGAATTTTTTATAACAACCAACATTTTTTTTTTGAAAATCACAAAAGTTATTGATATGGTCCTGAAGAGCAATAATTCAACTTTTTAACTGTTGCAGTAACGTTGAATTACCAGGGAAAAAATGGATAGTTTGGAATACTTTAGTCAACAGTATGAAAAAAAAAATCCTTCCACAAAAGAGTTCAAAATTTATATTTTTTATTTTAAATCAAATTCGTATTTAAGTTTTTTTTTAAAGGCCGCTAGAAAGGAATCTGAATCATTTATGCATAATAAAATTGGCAAATTTTCTATTAGCTGCTTATCAATGAAGTGCTAAGTAGAATTATTGTAAAAAATATTGTGAGTTTTGCGTTTTATACGCCAAATATAGGTCGTGAATTTGAAAATATTGATTAATTTTCCATGTCTTTGGACTATCGAAATTAATTTCTTAGTTACTAAATCTGTATTCCGGAGGTAAATGACACTATATATATATATATATGTACATATATATATAACAAACGGTACTTTTTTCGAGAATTACTTTTTGTAATTTTTCTCCCTTTTCCATTCCTCTCCCCCTCCCAGGGAAGGTTGTCCCTCCGAAATTCGGATGGACTGTAGATCTCGACTCCTATAAAAAAGACCAAGTTACCATCACCAGTCTCAGGAATGTGCAAATATTGTATAAATTGTCAATCTTATATATTATTTCTAAAAGGTGTTTTTTTGTCGGTACTCCATAACTTCGTCAATTCTTCATCAAATCCAATGATTGATCACTCATTTTGAAGATATTACATGCGAAAAATAGAAATCCTCCCGAAATTTCTGGAAAAAGGCTATGAAGGAAAAGAAACTGTGAATAATTCAAAAAGTATGCATTTTTTTTTTCTTGATTGTACCCATAATTATAAAGATTACTAATTACCTACGAAACAAAAAAAGTCGTTAAAATCGATTAGAAATTTGTAAAATTTAAACAATTTGTATCGATCGAAGGAGCAAATTGTGTTTAAATTTTTTTATGAGGAAATAAAGTTGAAATTTATATTTCGCAGCTCGAAAGACCCTGGAATGCGAATTTTCATAGTGATCTAAAAATAAAAAAGAGATTCTACAAATTTGATCTCAGACCCTTGGATTTTTTTCGAAAATCCCAAAAAGTGTGATAAGTTCAATAAGCTTCCACATATCCACATAAAATTTTGCAGGAGTTTAGGGTCTTGTAAACTACACGAAAAGATACAAACTGTATTCCGCCTTATTGATTTAGAACTGAAGTTACAAAATAAAAACCTGTTAGGAATTTTTATTTATTTACTTTTTATATACGTGTTAAATCTAAAAGTTATTTATACGGTCTTGAAGAGCTGCAATTAAGCTTTCCAACGGTTGTAGAAACATTGAATTAGGGTAAAATTCTGAGGAGTTATGAATGTTTTAGTTAACACCAGGCAAAAACATAATGAAAAGTGAAGTCGTTGCCATGACGACTATCTCAGCACAGCTCTTCTATCCTATATATTATTTCTAAAATGTGTTTTTTTTTGTCAGTACACTACAGCTTCGTCAATTCTTCATCAAATCCAATGATGGACCACTCATTTTGAAGATATTCTTCTCCTTCACGTGCGAAAAATAGTCCTATTCCCTCGAAATTTCTGGAAAAAAAGTTATGAAGGAAACTCAAAAAGTATCAATTTTTTCTTGTTTGTATCCATGATAATTAGATTACTAAATTACCTACAAAACAAACATAAACATCTTAAAAATCGGACAATTATTCACAAAGATACAGCCCATTAGTTTTGGTGTACTTAATAGTTTCTTCCTCTTTAAAAATACTACATTTACTATTCTACTACCTTATTTTTCCTGGCTGATATATGCTTTATTACTTCTTAAAGGAATTTTTTGTTTGTACATTTTATATTTTTTAGTAATTTAGAAAAACCCTCGATTGAGGCTTTATTTTGAGTGTTACCTTTTCAGGCAGTGGTTAGAAATAGGCTCTAGTAAAGTACAAATATTTTGGTCTGTTATGTTAAATGGAATGTTGTAATCGACCTAGGAAAAACAATTAATTCCTCAGTTACATAATCCATAGGATCTACTTATTTCCATATTGTTTTACTATTCCTTCACTAATGAAATTTTTTTGGGAATGATTGGTACAGGCCAACTAGTAATTAATCAATGTAGTTTCATTTCTATTCTATTCAGTCTGCGCGACAACTCGATATCGAGTCTTGGCCTCCTGTACCAGCCTCCACCAATTGTTCCTATCCTGTACAGCCGCCATCCAGCTTCTCACTCCCAACATGGACCTGGCATCACTAGCCCCACCGTCACTCCACCGAAGCTGAGGTTCCTCTACGCCTTGTTCCGTGTATGACTTCAGTCATTATCTTTTTCGGAATGTGATTCTCAGCCATTCGAGCGACGTGCCCATCCCATCTCAATCTATCGAGCTTCATGAAATGAACCACGGCTGATTCTTTAAACATATCTTTGAGCTCCTGGTTTGTCAGAAGTCTCCATAACCGGTCAACTTTCACAGCAACAAAGATTTTACGCAAAATCTTCCTCTCAAAGACCATTAGATTCTGCTCGTCAGTTTTGGAGATAGTCCATGTTCCTGAGCCATAAAGGAGTATCGATTGGATAATTGTTTAATACAATAGGATTTTTGTTCCTCTGGTTAAAGCACGCCCCCTAAAACATGGACTGAGGCCATAATAACAACAATTGGCACATATCACTCTTGGCTTAATTTCAGAATCCACAACATTATGAGGGATCCGAGATAAATAAATCCGACACTTTTTCAATGGAGGATTCTACGCTGGTAATCCTTTCGACTGGTCTGGGATTTTCCTCAATGACCATATATTTGATTTTTTGCAGCGTTGACTTTAAGGCCCATTTTTCACCATAGTCACGAGCGGATCTACGGGGGGAGGCTTTCGGGCTGAAGCCTCCCTCAAAATGGCAAAATATAACCATGTTTTATCGAAAAAAATATAAAAAAAAGTATCTCTTAAAGTATTATTGTTCGTGTGATTAAAATTAAAAGGGCTTTAAAAATCACTTAAACACCATTTCATACATGTAGTTAGTTTCTTTTTTTCCAAAGTAATTATCGTTATTTTTATGAAAAAAAAGCTTTCGGGTTGAAGCCCCCCCAAAAATTAAATCCTGGATCCGCTAGTGACCATAGTAGTTTCATTTCACCATGCCTATTATTTATTGTTAATCCTCAAACAAGGATCATCGAAACGATAATGAAAATTGAAAACTCCTGTGAATGCACAGTTTTATAAAAAATTTGTTATTGGGAATACTTCTAGTCACCCATGAACTAAGATTTAAAAATAGTATTGTTTATTAGTTTCCTTTCTAATTATTAAAATAATCTGAAATTAGTGCCCTTAATGTAGTAGTCCTTAAAGTGGCCGTGACAGCTGTTAATAGACCGACGAAAGATAATACCTTAAAAAATAGATAAGTTAAAAAGAAATATGTTCAATAAAATTAATTAGTCTGTATCTTCTTCATCCTTCCAATCACTTAAAAGCGCTTCTCTTTGTATGCTCTTCATGTTTCTCTTTGTATAGACATAGACCGCCAAAACATGTAAATTACAAACAGATAGTGTTCTCATTATCTTTATTTTTAGTTGCCAAATACTTTCCTATTACAGAGAGTGTTTCTGTCAGTTTTTATATATTTATCACCTTTACCTGTGTTTAAAGTAATTGAAATAAGTCATTATTATGGTTCAGTTTTCAGTGGAACAGTTACCTGAGTTATTAGCGGTGTATTATAAACGTCTTTTTCCTTATGAACTTTATCATAGATGGCTTTCTTATGGTCAAGGTAATAAATTATTCTCTACTTTTTGTTTATTTTTATCTAGATTGTCATTATTATGTTTGTGCTCTAGTGAATCCCAATTCCTTCTGTAATCGGGAAATGTCATTTACATTGGCTGGTGAAGTTTATATCAGATATCAAAGCTTTGACAAAATTGAAGACTTTGAGAAAGAATTAATAAAAAAAATTCCTGAAAAAATTGATATTGGTGCCATATACAATGTGAAGTAAGTATAACATAGCTTTTAGTTCTTGATAATATAAAAGTGGCATGTATTCCAGAATTGTAACTACCTCCAGTTTCTGTATATATTTATAATAGTATCTTTAATATAATGTTTAGTAAACTTAAAATTTATTATTTACTTACTTGCATGTAAAATATCATTAGCATTAAAATTTATTTTAATTAGAGAATCTAGTTACTTTTCTGCATTTTGGTTTAAAAAAAGCCAATTTAGCATAGTCATAATGTGTTATTAAAACCTTTGTTTTCAATGTATCGTAATCATGAATTATTTAGTTACAAAAAAACAAAGTACGAGATATTTGATAGTTGGTATTATAGGCAAAAATTATAAGTTATCTTGCAGGTTTGCAGTCAGTGTATCAAACATTGTATTTGACTATGTCCAATATGACATTCAATGATATAACAATATAGTTTTAGTGACATAAATTACTCTTAAGTGTACTTCACAAGTGTTGTTCAGCATAAGATTTTATAATTGTGCTATAAATGGAATTCAGAGAAAGGTCAAGTATTAACATGTTTATGAGTGCCATGTTTATAACCTCAATTCATTCAGATCGTGATTTTTTAACTCACAAACTCCCAACCATTTCTTTTCGGTTAATAAGAGAGCCATAGTTACCTTTAATTATATTGCTAATTGCAACATCCACTCTTTTTTTTTTCAATTGAAGATTCATTAACCTCCGTTTAATTTAGACACACTTTGCCATTTTCAGATTTCTATTTACTATGTGGTCTTGATATTTTCTTCTAACCCATCATAGAGAACCAACACTTATGAAGTAGTATAAATATTGGTTCTGGTTCCGGAACACTATTCCAAGATGGTGGCTGGGTTCCCCGAGCCATCACCTATATTTGTTTCTAAAATTGATAATTTCTTCTCATTTGGCCAAGAAATTGTAAATCTTATCGGACAAACTTTCGTTTTTTTTTCAGAATTAATGACGTTAAGATCAACTCAAATTCTAAATAAAACTATAAAATACTTATCAACTACTTCACGACTAAAACCTATGATTTTCATTGACTACCAATTAAGATAAGAAAAGGCATATCGAGTGGTTTAGAGAGGTCTTCACTCTACCACCCCGATATTTGTTATCAAAACAGACCTAGAAGAAACAGGTCATAGATTACTGATAGATACTTCAAAGTAAATACCTATTCATCCCTATACTGCCAGTCTGCTGGTGTTCCTCAAGGTAGTATCCTAGGTCCTGTCCTTTACAAAGTATATACCCATCCCAACACTATTATCACCACACATGCTGATGACACATGTGTCCTATCGGTTAACAACGATCCATCTATTGCATCCCAAACTATTCAATCACATATAACAAACCTTGAAGAATGGTGTCAAAACTGGAGAATTAAAATAAATTGCAATAAATCTCATCAAATTACCTTCATTCTTCGACTCAAACCTATAACTTCGTGTCCTACAGTATTCTTTAACAATTCCCCACTTATCCCAGTTGAAAAAATCTGATACCTAGGACTCCATCTGGACAAACAACTCACTTGGAATTCCCATACAAGACTGAAACGACAAGAAACTGCTCGACGTTTTCGACTACTCCAGTACTTACTAGACAAACGTTCTAAACTTTCTATATACTACAAAAGTCTCATATACATGACTATAATAAGGCCAATTTGGATTTACGGAATTGAGCTTTGGGGCTCCACTAAACCATCAAATTCCTCTTGTATTCAATCCTTACAACCCAAAATCCTTCATAAAATCTTCAATCCTCCTTACTTTGTCACAAAGAAAATCATTCATAACAACCTTAACGTATCACATGTCTACGATTTGGCCCAATCTAGATACCTATTCTTCCATAACAAACTTCAAAACCATCTGAACCCTCTCGTTTCAAACCTTGCTTCCTCTTTGACCTGATAACCCTCCAAGGCGTCTGAAAACAAGATGGCCTTGTGATCTACTTATGTAAATATATTATTAGGGTGTTACCAGTGGGTAGTTTCTCAACAAGCGTCTTCATATGATGGTAGTATTACTGTGTGCACATTTACCAGATGTATTTTTATATTTATACAGTTGTAAATCTCATGAATAAATAAAAAAAAAAAAATATTTATGTTTTGTATACCTCTTAAATGTTTTTCAGAAAACAGAATTATAATAATGTTGGTGGCGGGTTGGCTGAGCAGGTTTAATGCATTTGCACAGGACTGTTCATTTCCTGGCAACCAAGATCAAAGATAATTAGATAAAATGAGTTTGTGGGGCTTTTAACTCTGCCACTAATCTCCCACCCTCACCTCCTAGCCCAGGAAAACCCTGCATAGCCGAAAAGGCGAGGAAGTGGAGGAACTAAAAAAAAAAATTATAATATAATTATTTATTGTTAATTATACTGAAATAGGTTAATAATTTTAATAGCAGAAGTGCTTCAATTCAATCATCATTATGTAATTCATGGTGCTATAATTGTTGTTCATGGTTATAATCTGTAAGTATTTAGGGATGTTGATTTTTTTTAGGAACCTTAACTTGGTAGTGAAGAAGCAAAAAATTAAAGAAATGAGTTTTATTCCTTAATATTTTAACACACCCCTTGATCATCATCATCTTATTTATTTATTATTTATAATTGGTAAATGGTTAACTGTCGTAGGAGTGTCCGGTTGTTGTTATAATCTCTTAATATACCACACCTACTGCTTTAGCTTCCTTAAGGTACTTATACATCTCAGTAAGACTGGTGTGTGAGGAGGGCTGGTTGTTCCTGTGTGATATGACACTGTCATATGAGTTCAATTATTGTTACATTAATAATACTAATAAGTATTTTTCTTTAAAACATCATGCCTGCAAACCTTTCTAGTTTTTATACCACATTGGTTTATCCTCCCTATCTTTTAATGTATAGTAGCTTTTGAGTTGAGTTATGTACTTGTAAAAAATCAATGTATTGGTTATTTTTTCATAGGCCGAGACAGAAAAGAATGGCTAGTACCTTTGAAGTGGAAGAAAAAGAATTAGTATTTGACATAGATATGACAGATTATGACAGTGTGAGGACTTGTTGCTCTGATGCAAATGTTTGTTCTAAGTGTTGGAAATTTATGGCTATTGCTACCAGAATTCTTGATGCAGCATTAAGAGGTTATAGTAATTTTTGTTGATTTATGCTGTTGTGTTTTTTTTTTTTTTTTTTTTTTTTATTAATTATTTTCTGTTTTAGAGGATTTTGGATTCAATCATATACTGTGGGTATTCTCTGGTAGAAGAGGTATTCATTGTTGGGTATGTGATGAAGTTGCTAGGAAACTTGATTCAAAAGTAAGATCTGATGTGGCAGAATATTTGCAATTATTGACGCGAGAAGATCATACTGGAAAAATTGCCCATCTCAATTCAGAAAAAATACATCCTTCTATTAGGTAAATAGAAACTTTTATTAAATTTTATGTTTTATTCTAAAAGATATTTGCTACCTTTCTACCAAAGTTATGAAAACTTTGTATTTTTGGGAAAGTTTTATAATTCTTTTTCCTAAGAATTGAAAATTTCTACTTATGTTTAACATTAAGACATCAAAGAACAAATTTGTTTAGTCAAATCCCTGTGAGGCGAACACCTTCTATCTTTAATCTATTTTTCATGAATTTTTGTTTATGCATGTGTAAATCTATAAAATTAATATTTTCTTATTAAGAACATAATAGCTATGTGATAGGCAGTTAATACATAGAAAGGGAGGTTATATAACTTTTTAAAAGGTTTATTCCAAAATGAGTTTTGACTCAATAAGGTTTTTTCTATTCCTGGTACATGCAGGTACAAGTTTTCTAACCCCGTAGGGCAACAATCCTAGGATGTAAAAAAAAAAATTGTTTTGTAATGGAAAAACTGTATTGCCCCCATGTGGCGGGCCATTTCCTATTGTCAAAACTTGTGTTTGAATTTAATTTATGTCTTTCTGTAGTGGAATCCATGTTATGGGTATAATTAGGGCTGGAACTTTACAGTGACCTCCCCATGGCAGCAGAATTTAGGGGACAATAAATATTTAATGAAATTGTATTTTCAAGTTAGATATATAAAAAAAAATTGTTTCTGTTTTTTATTCTATTGGTCTTAATTCAGTCAATAATACCTCCGTGTTGAAGGTTCTTAAATAATCTTTGTTTAAGATTAATTATTTCTTTAGGATATTTTCTAATTCTGTTAGCTGTTTGGTAAAATTGTTTGATGTGTTTAACATAGAATAATTTATGGTACATCCCCAAAAATGTATGTAATACATTATATTATATATCATATGTATATAATATATTTTATAACAGATAAAATTATTATTATTCTTTTTTAGGCGTGCTTTAGATATTATTGAGAAAGACTTTGAATCAGCGTGTGTGGAATGTCAAGATATTTTGGGCACACCAAGTCGTATGAATAGTGTTTTGGCCATGATGGAAGATGGTCTACGACAGGAAGTAGAAACTGCATGGGAAACCACTAACACTTCTTTAGAAAGATGGACAGTTTTCAAGAAAATATTTAATGCTCAACAAGCCAGTGTAAGTTCTTAGTTTTGATATTTGAATATTTAGAAAGATTGCAATTTTTCATCTATGTAATACTAAAAATTGTAATAATTTTTTATTAGAGTAAACGGAGTATTGAAGGCAATTTCGTAGGGTATTATGTCTATTATATTTCAATATAGCTTCTCAAATTTTATCAAAATTTAATTTTTTTGAATTTCCTCCAAAACATTTTTTTTCTTCTAGCAACTCTCTATAACCCAAACAGTTCAGAGTCTTGGTTAGCACACAGCACCAACAAGCCATGGTCATCTCCAGTAACGACTGGCAGTTCTCACTGCGAATGTGGCTAGCTTTTAATTATGGCCGACTAGTAGGGCTCGAACATCTGAAACAACACATTGCTCCCAGTGAATATGTGGTCTGTCAATGTGACCAACTCCGAACATTTGTTTGTGGAATACTTAGGCAGAGATCTTATCCTCTCCTGTCCTCACAAACTGATAGGCGAATGTAACCTTCCTAGTTCGATATGTTGGATCATATCGACTTCTTTCAGTTATAAGTTTCTCCTCTTCTGAAAGTATGGTCTGTATACTCTTCTCAGAACTGTGTTTTTAAAATTTATTATCGATGATTCTTAATCTTTATTAAGAGTACATATTTCCCTTCTTTTGAAAGTATTTAGATTAGGTCTATGTTCCAAGCATCTGTTATAATTTTCTTCCATGTTTTTTTGGATTAGTTGTGATAATTGGCTCTTAGGTCTTCTTCAGTCTTACATCAGAGATCTTAAATGAATATTTTTTATTTGATTGTTTAGATCTTAAGTAAATATTTATATAATGTATATATAATTATGAATCTTTCATTTCAGAATAAATTAAAGAAGCGCAACAAAAATTTAATAGACGAGTTAATGCTTCATTTTTCTTATCCTCGTCTTGATATAAATGTCACAAAAGGTTCAAACCATCTTCTAAAAAGTCCTTTTTGTATTCATCCTAAAACTGGTAAAGTTTGTATACCATTTAATCCTTCAGCCGTTTCATCATTTGATCCTAATGCAGTTCCTACAATTAGGTAACTATTATTATTTTTATGGATTTCAGAAATTTTTGAATTATTTGTTTTATTTATAATATAATGTAATGCTGTTTTGTTGAAGCACTTATATAATTTTTTATAGTGATCTTGTTGAAGAAATACAGCAGTTTGATGCAAAACAAGGAGAGGCTATAAAAAAGGGTATGAAGAACTATCGGAAAACTAGTATGTATAAAAGTATTCAAGTATTTGAAGAATTCTTAAGAAAACTGGAAGAATCATGGAAGAGCAAATATGGTGGTTCAGGTATGATTTTTTAAAATTTATTTAAATAAGGTAATATTTTTATTGTTTAGTTAAATAAAAATAGTAATTCAGTGTTTCTCCAATTTTAGTTGAATCAATGGATTTTTGATATTGAAAACATAGCTTTGATGAAAGATCACATGAAATCTTTTTTGAAGAAGGTTGGTTTTTGCAATGAAATTATTATATTAAGGTTTGGCAATTTTTAATGTTTAATTTTGTTGCTAATTGTATTTATTTATTCTTGTAAATAAACTTGTATACAACTTTTGTTTGTATGCCTCAAGCTTTGATTTATTTCTTCTTAAAATATATCTGTAAATATTACTTAATTATATTCCCAAATACAATGATAAATTGACATTATAAAAATTTGGTGTGCGCAACACACAACTTTCACTTACCGCCCAACTTTGGATAGAAATTATTTTCTGGCCATGTTGGACTATTATAAAATTTTTGAATTGCACATTTAACTGAGCTAAAGCTAAAAGATTGCAGCTAACAAATCATAAATACTATTAAAATAACAAAAGTCCTATTTATTATCCATTATCACCGGTTGATTATGGATTGTACGACTATTAGTTATTACACTGTTATTTTCCATTGCAAAGTTTACTAAAACAGAATAGAGAGATTTGCATTATCTGTCATAGGCAGGTCAAAATTTGTCACACTGTAAGTGGATTCTGTTGGAATATCAAAAAAGGAAAAATTGATCAAATTATTCACTAATTTAATTTTCTAAAAAGTAAAATAACAATGTTTCGGAATAAACGTTGATACCTAATTATTTAAATATAATATCAGATCTGTAATCACTAAACTACAGTAAATGTATTTAAGGTTATGAATATATGCTTTATACATCCATGAAATGATTTTATATTTTACTTTTTCTTTGACACAAGAACTATGAAATATTTTTTTTAACAATGCCATTGCCTTGATTAGGTGGATTTTAAATACTTCCTACAAACGTAAAACTATTTTTTAAAGTTTACATTTAGTTAGTTACTTTAATTTAATTTCCTTGAAAACATGTGATTTACGTTGAATATTATCAGTTTTAAAAAATTATTATTTCTAATTTTTTTGCCACTCTCCGTTACCTTCTACAACTTTCTATATTAGATATATTTTTTTTTCTAAAGTTCTCCACTTTCCAACTATATATTATAAGTATACCTTCTGACTTGTATTTCTGGAGATTCATTTTTGGCTTGTATAAGCATTTTTATTTTTTTTCTCCTTTATTCAATTATCAAATTCTTTCAAAAGTTATATTTAGCATTTTTTCGTAACTTTTAATAGTGAGAGATAGTTGATTATTTAAAATAAACCATATTAGAGGTACTTTAGAAGGAGACTCATATGAACATTGGACATTTAAGCCCTGTAATGTGACATCAACGGGGATAAGACCTAAATGATATTAAAGACCACTTAATTATACAATAATACACCGAGTTTAATCAAAATCGTTAGAGCCGTTTTTAGAAAATTGTAAAAATGTGTTTTAGCGTTGATATAAAGTGGCACTTCAGGTTAGTTATTTTAAGGAAAAAGTTACCAGGACATGTAAGGCATATATCTATCTTAAATATGTATTATTAGTTTCCTATGACTTTTCGGTTTCGAGCTAGAATGTTCACAGACACACAACTCATTTTTCGAGACTTGGTTATTTGGACTCAGGGGACCTCAAAACGTGTACTTCCGTTAAAAACTCTGATTACAAAATTTTCACGATTGCAATACCTACACTTACTATATATTACATATATAGGTAAGTGAAAGTTAAAACGTAATAAATGAAATGATTTGTCATAGAAACTGTTCTTTACAAATTGCTTGGAATAACATTTATAACAGATGTTTTAGCTATAAAATATTATATTAATAATAAAAGAGATTGAATTAGAATTTAGGGAACGTAATGAATAAAAAAAACAATTATTTTTATAACAAAAACTTCCACATAAGAAAAGATTTGTTTTTCATTATTTAAGGTATTTGTGGATTATTTCTTTTCCTAATAATTTATATTATTTTTGTATTAAATTGCATTGTGTTGATCCCTTAAATACCTTAATATTTTCCAATGTTTTGAGAGTTCTTATTCTCATTTTCCGTCATAGGTTTTAAATCTGGACAACACTATATAAATACTGTATTATCAATAATTGAACTAGAACTCAACTTAATAATACTACCCTGTTTCTCTTTAAGTAGTGTTTTTGTTTTATTTTATAAATAATGACAAAGTATATTTATAGATAAATGAAATAATAATGTGTTATCTAAAACAAAACTGTATCCCTAATAATAATAATAATAATAAGGCTTAGCGAACCCGAAGGTTCGATGCCGACACCACCAATCGCTTGTTACACACCTCCCTCCACCGTTCGCCGTCCAAACCCAGTCCCTTCAGATCGGCTTTAATGCAATCTTCCCACCTTCGCTTCGGTCTACCCCTCGGACGCTTACCATTCTGCACGGCAAATATTAACCTTTTAGGAATTCTCTCGTTACTAAGCCCAACAACTTTACAAGCCCATTTGATTCGCCGCGATGAAATTCCCTCAATTATATTACCCGGATACAGCTCACGCAATTCGGCGTTGTGTAACCGCCTGAACTCTCCGGTTAACTCATCCTTCTTCGGTCCGAATATTCTACGCAATACTTTATTTTCAAAAACCTTAAGACGCTGCTCATCCCTTAATGTAAGCGGCCAAGTTTCGCATCCATAAAGAACTGTAGGCAAGATAATCGTTTTATAGATTCTAATTTTTAAGGCCCAGGACAAGAGGCGCGAACTAAGTAGTTTTGTCTCATCATCTGTATCCCTAAAGATGAGGATAAAAAGCCTTGAAATATTTAAGCATTTAAGAGAAGGTCAAAATGTAATTTAATATAATTATAAAATAATGTTAATATATAATTGTGAAATTATGAACACTAAGTCCATAAAAATACAAATTAGTCCTTCAGCATTCTGGAAATTAAAAGAAAAATCAACTTGTCTTTTCCACATTTTGAGATATGTGTTGTATTTTTTCTACATGTGTGTGATTTAGGTCGTTTCTGTCCTGATGTCTGAGTTAGCGAAACGTTGAAGGGTTAATTTGTATACCTGTATTTTAGGAACTAAACATTTTGTGTTTGGAATTTTCCAATTATATCCTAGAATTTAATTTATGTCTCTTTTTGAGTTTTTGCTCTTTTATAATAATAAAATAAATTATTAAGGAAGAGAATAATTCTCAAAATACTTTCAATAATTATATTTATTATATCTACAGAGTAAATAAATAAATAAATACATAAATTTCTTAAAGAGATTGTTTCCACCTGAATATATACCATGAAATGGGCGTAACACTTGCACAAAGAAGAACATAAAAGACATTTCGAAGTATCTGTAACAATAAAAAAAAAAGTATGAGAAATACCAAATTTTGGCATTTTGGGAACTTTTCAATGCATTAAATAATAGTATGAATGAAAGCTGATTTTATTCTGGGAAAGCTAGTTCCCTTAAATAAATGTTCAATTCCAGAAACATTTATCTGATGATTATGAAATGCTAAATTTTAAAATTATAAAATGAAAGAAGCTTAAAACAAAAAATTAAAATATTGAAACTATGTATATACACACATATATGCATATGCACGCTTATATAATGAAAAATATACACTTATGGATTTCTTTATTTGTTTGTACAGTTGTGTGAGAAGGAACTTAGAAGTTTGGTAGGTTGGGATTCTGTATTTTAAGAGTGGACAGAAGCATATGCTGTGAACAGATTGAGAATGTAAGAAGACTTTTGGTTCTAAATGGTGGACACCTAGAAAATATTGCCAATGAGAAACAAGATAAAGGCACTTTCACTCAGCTTACCAACTGAAGACATCTATGTGCCTGGTTATCTTGAAGATAAATCTAATGAAACAATAAATCAGCCTCATCTCATACCTACCATACAGTTTCCTAAAAAAAACAAGAAAAAAACAGCCAGCCAGCCATAAATAAAGTGAAGGAAATGAGAAAGATGGCAAGGAATTGCTTGGCTTCAGGGGGCATAGAATCACAAAATTTTAGGAACTCTTTTAAGAGTAGCAATGGATTTTGGGAGATAGGATAATTCCAGAATAGGTGTTGATAAAAATGATCAAAATTCCTAATATAAGTATAGTGAGGTGGAGTAAGAAAGGAATCAAGTTTTTTGGAACTGCTAAGAATGACCTTTATTTTTTAAAAATAAAAGCCACAAACTTTATTGCCCTTATGTTAAAAAATTGTGAAAACATAAGTTTTATTTATGCTATAAAAATGAAATAAAAATTTATTATGAATCATTGGATATTGTTTTTTTGAGCCTGGAATAGCATAGCCAGAATGATCTTGGATTTTGGCCAGAATAAAGAAAACGGACTTTGAATTGTATATGTGATTTGAATTACCATGGATATGAATTGTAAAAAAATAAGTATGTGCTCTTATCTTGTGATGATGTTGACTTAAAAATTGGCCATGTCCGCTAGTCGGTGATTGCCAATGGCCCCACAGCCCTGGAGGAGATTCCAAAATCATTGTTCTATACTTTTGTGATGCTACTGAAATAATTGTTTTATGTATATAATAGTCTAGTATCGTGGTATACTTGGCCTCCAAACTAATTGTTTTGTATTTTTTTATTTCCTAAATTTTTGATGGGCCTCTAACTTACATGGTTTTTACTATTTTATTACTGTAGAATGATTGTGAGTTCCCCCAAAATAATTGTTTTGTATTTGTTTATTTCCTAACATTTTTGATGCACCTATCATAAATGTTCTCTATGTTTCTATTACTGTACAATAATTGGAGGGAGCCTCTGATGGCTCTGCAAATCATTGTTTTAAATTATCTAGTACTGTTGTACGTCTGGTCCCCAAAATAACTTTTGTATTTGTTTATTTTTTTTATTAATTTACACTAATTCTTTTATAAGAAAATTCTCAGAAATAGAGTGGTTTTGACCTGAAGATCGGTAAACTGGTTAGTTTGCTTCCACTTGAATCATAAGATAATTTGATCACAAAATCGATTAAAAAAGTGGCCTACAAAAATATAACCTCGTTATTTTTACATATTGGGTTTGAAGTGTTCGCCAAACGGCCCAACATTTTTGTTGACTACCATTTTTTTTATCGATTTTGTGGCCAAATAACCTTACGATTTAAGTGGAAAGTAAATAAGTTTTTACTATTCTATTAAATTGGGAATGTTTACCGACTCCAGATTGAAAAATCCCAATTTTCGAGAATTTTCATAGATAAAAAAGTAGTAGGTTTAGATAAAATGAGGCCACTCGCGAAGTTTTAGAGGATAATTTCATACTTTTTTTTTCTCAAACTCGGATATAATTCAAGATAAAGGAAATTGAATCAAATCAATGCTTAAGAAATAAAATTGATCTTTCTGTAGTTTTTAAAAATAAATTCATCCAAGTGAATCCTTTAGAAATGCTTTGAAGTTGATGTTCATAGAAATATTATTAAAAGTAATTATATATTTTTTTTAAAAAACCTACATCCTGTATACATATTTTTGATTCTTAATTTATTTTTCTCTTCACTGATAAAAGGTTCATAATTGATAAAAAAAAGATGATTACTATCATCACATTCTTGCCATTGGTGAGTCCTTGATGCATGCAAGAAACTCGAGATATTTAACACAGATTAAAAATAGTATATCCACAGGATAACATCTATAGAGCAATAATTAAAGAAACAAAATTACAAACCACATTTTGACGTTTTCTGTTCTGTAGACATTCCGAGTAGGGTATGTTAGTAAAAGTAATAGACTGGTACAGTGGAATCCATTTACTTGAGAAAAGCCAATAAAGGATATTATCTAACTTTTTCCGAAGGATATAAGACGTTTGCGTGACCAGTTGCCTCATCTGCATAAAAAATAAATAAATAAAATTATTTTTATCTCCAATAAATTTTAAATTAGTATATTCAGAGCTTTTGTTGGCACCCTAACTAAAACCCTGAATTTGTTTTTTGAGGTACCTCACTATAATTATACATGGATAAGTTGCAGATAGCTTCCGCATTTTTCGCTCGAGTTATTGAAAATAACTCTAGTGCCTCTTCTAAATCCAAGCCCTCGCTATGTATGAATTCATCCAGAATGCGGCAGTCTTCGAAACCCTGTAAAACAAATGTATTATTTTTAAATAATAAACGTAAATCAGTAGTAAAAACTGAAAAAGAGACAGGACATTATTGTTAGTTTATAGTTGGAAAAATTCTAACCACATAGCCATATGTCTTCAAAATACGGGCAAAAAAAAAAAAAAAACCTGTCAGCGTTTTGCCAATTCAGACAGAAAAGAAAAGAAACCCAAGATCACATCATTCCATGACATCCAATCGCTTACTCAATAATCAACCGAGAAATAAAAAAATTAACATCCTCAAAATTTGACGTTTCACGTTACCAAATATGAAGAATCCAAAAATGTAATTGAAAAAATAGTTCGGTTCGCCGCTTATCTGCTTGGCTGGTTTTGCGAGACTACGTCTTTTTTTCCCAGATATGGCACCTAAGTTTGGGTGGACCTCGGAACTCGACATTATCCATTATTTCGTTTCATAATGGCTAGTATTTAGTGATTTCATACGTCCCTATCTCGGTTATTTATGAAGATAGAGCAAAAACATAAAGTTTTTTTAAGTCATATTGTTTGAATCTACTAAAATATAATCCTTGCCGTTACTAGATAAGGTAAATATCGTAATGTAATTCTTTTCGAACACCTAAAACGCAGAAACCGAAGATTCCGGTTATGTATTTTACCTTAGTCCTCTTTTTGATAATGCTATGAAAAACTAAATAAAGCAATGCTATTTCTTCCTCCTCAAAAGTTAGAAGCACTTAAGGTAATGTATGTTTGATATTATCTTAATAAAGACATCGAAACTTTGTATGCTCCACTGCGCGTATTGATTTCGACCATCTTTCCTATGTATTTATCACTACAATATATCTTTAGATAGATTTAATCGTTAAAATCAGCAGGAACGGCGACGATATCGCTGATGTGGGTACAAGAGAGTAGCGAATGAACTAGGTTTGAGTGCTTTAAACAAGGAATAATGAGTCCACGAGAGAATTTCTAACGTTAATCATCGCAGAATTGCGAAGCATCCAGTGCCGGAGGATTTTTTCGGAAGTTTGTATCCGTGGCAAATTTTAGGATGGAGCAAGATCCAGTTTTGGCGTCTCCTTATTATAACAATAATAGTTTATTTTTAAAATAGCGCACACTTTACATGTCATTATCGATGCTTGTATTACCACTTATTCTTCATCTATCTGCCCCTGTTCATTTATTGATATCTTATCAATGATTCGGCGCCCCTTAGGACTTAGCGCCTGGAGCAACCGCTCCATTCTCCCTATGATAGGGCCCAGCTTGCATCCTTTTGATATACCTGATTGAAGTGATATTCATCGCGATGGTTCAAATGGTCGTGTAAAGTACGGACTTAGTAATAACGAATCTCTAAACAGTAAATCAATGAGGGTAGACTTCAACGTATATGGCAATATTTTATTAAAGCTAATTTTATTTATTTGGCTTTGAATGGGAATCGGTGGAAGGAGCTGTGTAAACGGCGATTCGTTGTTTCGGGATTGAACATTAGGGTTGAGTAATTGATTATCGTATCTCAGAAAATTCATGATTTCGAAGTTAAAAGCTGCACTTGCCAGATTAATAATTGTTAATAGATTATCAAAAAGTAAATGTAGTTAGATTTTATTCATATTTACATTTTTTTTATTATAAATTAATTACCAAAATGAAAATATATAAGTGCGACTTATGGTCTATTTATAATAATATGTTTAACTTACTGCATTCATCCCCTGGCCATAGAAGGGTACCATTGCATGTGCTGAATCTCCTAGTATTACAGCTTTATTTCCTACATTATATTTGGTACACTGTAACATTTCAGTTGCATTATAGTCTATTTTAGATTAAAATATTTTAAATAAGTTTGTTATTTTAGAATGATTATGATATTGCTTCTCATAGGGGTATGGATTGATTCAGTGATTGCAAAATAAAGTTAATCAATGCAGTTTATGATTTGAAATAATGCTACGCCAGGTTTTATCCGGCACATCGATCCGTATTTTGAGATATTCATATAATAAAGTTGTAACTGGCCTTGAGGGACACATATCTTTACAAGGTGTATATTTGATCAGTACAATGAAATTCATTCATATATAATATTTCTAACAATAAATAATGAACAATCTAAGCTTACCTTAATAGAAACTAAATGAGATGGTTTTGAGAAATCCTCGATCACTTTTGAATCTCCGATCAATTGAAGAGCATCGGGAAAGTTCTGTTGAAAGAATGACTTGATGGCATGTTCTTTGCCTTGTAATTCGTCGAATTTAACCAAAGGCATGAAAAGAGTGACAGTCCAGCTGTCGTCTTGATTAGGAAGCGCAATCAACATGAACTCACCCCTCGGCCAGATGTGCAAATGATTAGATTCCATCTACAAAAATTATATATTGTGATAATTGGTTTTAAATTTAGATGAAAGAAAGTCTTGTTTTGTTTTTTACACATGAATATCAACATAACACAAAGCTACAAAGATTGGTCAGGGTGACTGCAATGGAAAACACCAACAACCACACATTAGCGGATCCAGGAATTTTCTAAGGGGGGTGGGTTACCAGGTGCTTAACCCACCCCTACTTGTTCCTCCACCTCTACTTGTTCCCTCACCCCCACTCGTTCTCCCACCCCCAATCGTTCCCCACCCCTACTTGTTCCCCCACCACTACTTTTTCCCCCACCACTACTTATCACCCCCACTCCTTAGCTGAGATTATGCAATCGCAAGCCTAAATGGTTTTAACAAAAGCAAACTCTATTTTTATTTAAAGTAAATTTTGTCTCGTTTACAGTGAAGCAATCGTGAATTACTTAAATTAAATAGTGTTTTAGTTATCACTTCCTATTCAATAAAAAACGTGACTTACTTAAAAAATCACAAATCTTCAATTTCCTTCTTTCCTGCTGAAAATCGAACCATTGTTTTTATAAACTCTTTGTATTTCTTGAGTTCTGCTATCACTCCTTTAAATAATTCTCTATACTTACGGGACACCCTGCATGTGGGTTTAGACATGTAAAAAACAAAATTGCTTACACGCGTCACCAAGAGAAAACTTAACAGCCAAAAAATCCAGATTTATCAGATCATTTTTTTTTTTTTCATTTATTACTACTAAACAGTGCGTCACTTAATTAGATTCCGATAAAATCGGGGACTTATAATTAGTACCTTCCTTCATGAAAACATTCCCAACAGCAGCTATTTTAAGAAAAGAACAACACTTTCTGATGAGAATTATACACATTATTATCGTGAACAGTTTTTATAGTGAACAGAAAATTCGTCTATGAGAATGATTTTTTCTATATTTCCTTTTTCTTTAAATAACTGCATATTGGAACATTTTTCCCACCATCTAGGAGAGATAGGCGCGCGCCCCGCCTGAACCCGCTATTACTGGTCACGATAATAATTTTTTTTTCACATTAGAAAATTCGTCTTATAGGATGAATTTTTCCTATGTTTCTCTTTTCTTTAAATAAGTGTTTTTTGAAAATTTTATTCCACCATCCAAGAGAGGGCGCGCCCCCTGGCAGAATTTGCTAGTTCTGATCAGGATAATATTTTTTTTTTTTTATATTTCTTTAGGAAATTCATCTATGAGCATGAATTTTCTCTATATTTGTCTGTGGCGGAGAAAAAAATGCGGTCTACGCGACTTAGTGGAGGTCTCAATGCGGTTCGCGGTCCAAAAGGTTTGGAGACCCCTGCTTGAAATCAGAGTGTAGTGGTTTTGCGTTATCTTATCATGAGTCATTACAAGATACTGGACTTATTGCGTGTCCTTTATTAAAGCCCTTTTCATTCTTTTAGATATGTACCTTGAAGTTGTTAGCTGGTGGTATGGCTAGTTATCATGGATTTGTTAGCTGGTGGTATGTTTAGTTACCTTGAAGTTGTTAGCTGGTGGTATGGCTAGTTATCATGGATTTGTTAGCTGGTGGTATGTTTAGTTACCTTGAAGTTGTTAGCTGGTGGTATGGCTAGTTAGTTACCTTGAAGTTGTTAGCCGGTGGTATGGTTAGTTCTCTGTAGCCATGCTCGATGTAAGTCTGACTGAAATTGAACATGGGCTGCTTCATCATTTCTCGTCTCACGATTGAGAAAGCCCCATCTGCACCCACGATTAGATCGCCTTTGTCTTCTTTCAATTCAGAATTATTGTTGTCAGCCCTCAAAATAAGGAATAATTCAATAATTATATTGAAACAAATATTTTAAGTTACTACTTCATTATAGGCTTACCGAAATTACTTAAGATGGAATTTTCTACTTACGATTTAAAGAATATTTTCTTCTCCTCGAAATTCACGGAAGTTATTTTATGATTGAAGTGAAGATGAACATTTTGATACTTTTCGGCTTCTGAAAATTTAAGATTATTGTTCAGTATAAGTAAAATTATTTAAAAAAATAAATAAATAAAATAAACCAATGCTAGTTTAGAGTAGTTAATTGCACTCCGAAAAGGTATTGATTCTGTAACGAAAAAAATATATATTTATAGAAAATACCACTTTATTGAAGTAAGACATCCAGAGTAATACGTTTAAATAAAGTGTGATTTTGAAGAATAAATATAGCTCTTTAACCCCAGGAGTCTTTGATAGTAAAAAGAATTATAGGTTAATTTATTATTACTACTAGTAACATTTCTCATCTCATTATGCCACTGAACACTAGCGGATCCAGGGTTATATTTTGGGAGAGCTTCAGCCCGAAATTTTTTTTTTTTTCATAGATATAACGATAGTTAATTTTTTTTTATAAAGAAAAGAAATTAACTAACTACATGAAATAGTGTTTAGCTGATTCTTGAAGTTCTGTTAAATGTAATTACACGAACAATAATACTTTAAGAGATAGTTTTTAATATTTTTTCTATAAAACATGGTTATATTTTACCATTTTGGGAGGAGGGGAGGAGGGTGGCTTCAGCCCGAAATCTTCCCCCTCCTCCCATCGTAGATCGGCCGGTGTTTCTGAATAATATATTGTTCACTTCATTATTTTTACATATTGTTTTTTATCGAGTACTGAATAAAGCAATAAGAATACAGACTTTATTCTTTACTTTATGGCTGGGACCTGAATCCTCTTATTGAATTCACTGAACTTTATAGAGTTGTGAAAAATATAATCGTTATATTTTAAATTGTTGTTGTGATTTTTGAACTTCTTAATCTAAATATCGACTAAAGAACAGAGAAGTGGGGATAATCGCATTCATACATATGTCCTTACAATATAGAATATAAGGATTACTTTTAGAATAAGTAAACTTACTACTAAAAATTGAAAACAAAATATAAGTTTAATAAAACAAATTTATTGATGTGGTGTGGTCATTTTCTAACTCAGGAATCCGATAAAACATTATTACATTAAATTATAACTTATTCAATAATTATTATTGTTATAACTAGATGGCCCGTACGAATTATTAATATGGTTAGTGAAGTCTAGTGGTAGCGTAGCGAATCTACGAAGGGGGGGGGGTTACTTCCAAAGTAAATATCGTTGTTATAGATCGTTATATATAAATAAAAAAAAAAAAGATCGTTATATAATAAATTATTATTATTAATAAATATATAATATATAATAAATTATTATTATATATAAAATAAAGATCGTTATATATAAATTAAAAAAATAAAATCTTTCGGGCTGAAGCCCTTCAAAATCTAATACTGTTAATGACCAAACCGCACTTTAATATGAAAATAAGTAATGCAATATATTTATGCGAGGGAGGATTTAACATATTATTTTCCCCGTCGATTGCATTGGTATTCAAAACAAATTATCAACCAAAAAGCTGCTTCTTTGCTAATAATGGTCAAATTTTGATGATATTTTTTTCTTTTTTAAGGAGTTTAGAAACGTAAATTTTCTGTTCTTCGTACCTTTTTTTCCGACTTTCCTTTGTAGTGGGAGATTATTTTCCAAATGATTCCTTAATCATTGAATTTGAATAAGTATTAACGGAAATATAGCTTACCGACAGTAAAAGGGCCTCGCGAAACATTGTACTAAGATGTTATAAGAAATAACTCACGTAATTTCGCTATGGCTCTCCCATTTAATATACTTTGTGGTTTACTTTTTTCATTTACCTGTGATGAGTAACTCGTTCAAATGTTTTCTTCCAACTGAGTATATGCACTGCAAGAAAAAAAAAAAATAAAAAATAAAATTCTTAATGTGCCTATTTCTAAAAATAAATATAGATAGATTTATTAGTGATCTAATTATTTTTTTTAATTATACTTTATTTTTGACGTTCACTATCACACTAGCGGATCTACAATTTAATTTTGGAGGGCTTCAGCCCGAAAGCGTTTTTTTTTTTCATATATATATATATATATATATATATATATATATATATACATAACAATAATTACTTTTTAAATAAAATAAAGAAACTAACCTAACCTATATGGTGTATAATTGATTCTTGAAGTCCTATTAAATGAAATTACATGAACAATAATACTTTAAGAGATAATTTAAATTTTTTTTTTCAACATAGCTAGCTATATTTTACCATTTCGGGGAGGAGAGAGAGAGGAGAGAGGGCTTCAGCTCGAAAGCTCCCCCCTCTTCCCTCCCGTAGATCCCCCTGTGTATTATCATATAAAACTGTATGTGATAAAATTGCGTTGAAAAACAGAAATGTGCGCTTATTTTCTATTTAATATTAACAAATTTTTATTTATTTATTATTTATTTGTTTATTGATAAATATTACAATCTGTCTCAATAAAGGACATTTATAATAGAGTTCTGAGAGCACATTCACACAATATTTACAAATTAAAAAAAAAATAAAAATAAAAATAAATAAGCTAACTTCAAATAATATAAAGCTACAAAAGAACAAAATAAAATATCATAGTGAAGAAAGAAAATATAAATAATAGTAATAATAGAATGAAAATAAATGAATAAAATAGAATTAAAATTATCTTAAAAAAAAAAAGTAATGAAAATAAACATCTTAGATACAGGCATACCTATTTACACTATTTACAGTTGGTCATGGGAACTCCGAACCATACTTATCCCCCCACACGTGGAGGGAAAGCAAGGCTTCGGGAGATCCCTGTGCTTCTTCTTCAACCATTTCACTGGTATTGAAAGCCAGCTGAGATTGAGTAAGGGCGCTACAACCACGGACACTCATGACTTGAGTGGAGAATCTGGCCATTGCCAGAAGAACTTCAATATATACATGTTACAAAAGGTCACGGGGCCACTGCCGTTTCAGCCTGCGAGGAGGATTGTAGGGATGAGTGGTGCTAGATAGGGATTGTGCTACGGGATTAGGGGGATGGGTAAGGTTCTGATGAAATTTGGAGAATTTGTCTTTGATAAGATCAAGAATAAATGGAATATTAAGGTCATTGTGTAGGGTTTTATTGGAGACATAGAAGGGAGCATCGACTATTGTACGGAGGACTTTGGACTGGAAGGATTGAATGCGTTTGATGTTAGAAAATTTTGTTGTCCCCCACAGTTGTAGTCCGTAGGTCCAGATGGGTTTTAATATTGTCTTGTAGATCAGTAGTTTGTTTTCGATAGAAAGTTTAGATTTGCTATTAAGCAGTCTATATAGCTGGTCATACCGTTGGTCGTCTGTCTAGGAGAAAACCAAGGTACCGGATTGTGTTGGAGAAGGGAAGCTGGATGGTATTAAAGTAAACTGGTGGACAGGAATTACGACGAAGGTTGAAGGTTATATGTTTACATTTGGATTCATTGACTTTGATGCGCTATTTCTTGCACCAGTGTTCAATCAAGGATAGGTGCCGTTGCAGGTTTATGGTTTAACAAATTACGAAAAAAAAAACATAAGTAAAACAATATTAGATTACATAAAAGTTAATAACGTGAGGAAGAAAAAAAATGAAAAGAAAAAACATTTTTTATTTATAGAAATACATTAAGTATTCCTTGAATAACAGAAAAAAAACTTTTTATTTTTTTTAGCGAAAACATTTTTTATACCTAGAAAAAAATTAATAACCGGGTTTCCTGTATCCTTGAATTCCTTGAAGATCACGAATTCTACAGTTATCACTACTGGTTTTTGTAAACTAAAAAAAAAAAGTCAGTCAGGATATCCAGTGATATAGCAAGAAAAAATTGGAGGATCTCAAGGCTGTGCACTATAAATTTCAAGGCGGTTATTGTCATTTTACTAATTATATTAATAAAAAAAATTTTGAACCATCTTAGATACCCCTTTCAGATTAAAATTGTCTGGAACCTTAATATCAAAGATTAGGAAACCCAACCCAAAAATAATAATTTCAAGTATTTATTTATATTTTTTTTCCTATCCCCAAAGATCCAGTAGTTGGGATTTCCACATTTTTCTTTATGGGATGGAAGCCCTTGTTGCATTTTAAGGGAATTAAGAGGAATTTGAAGGTTTTAAAAATTGTTATGTGCTGAGTCATTAGTCTAGTGATAAGTAAAAATATATAAAATTTACATATTAAAATAAACATATCTATTTATTCACAGTCTTATTTTATGTGAGAAAATAAGATATTTATTTTATTTTCTTATAATCAATTGTAAATAATTCCATTTAATAATCATAACGTTTTTTGAGTCCAAGTCTCTGACAGAGAGATCAATGGAATCGCAAATAAACAACACAAAAATATTGAAATGAGCCTACATTCTGCATTTTAATTCAATCGATTGTATTTTTATATAAATTCACCAGATGACAGTGAATTATTAATATTCATAGAACTCTCATTATATTTATTCTTTAAAGAATAAATGTAAATATCGTTCTGCCAAGAATATCATAACATCGCTGACCTGTAGCAATGTATGGCTTTCATATTCTATTTGGAGTGCAAGGGATAAATACGTTAAAAACTCATACACAAATAGTTTTAAAAAATAATAATTTGTGTTTAAAAGGAAGCTAAAATGAAATTAAAGATGGTAAAATATTTAACAAGAAACCTTTCCAATATATATTTTTTAAAACTTAGTATAACTTAATATTATGTTTCCTTCACTCTCTATATCACAGATAATAATAACTACACATTTGTTAACTACAAGTTGTTTTCTATATTACACTATATTTTTCTTCTGCCTCATTAGCATATACTGTTAGCAAAAAAATAAATTAACGAATATCAAAATTTCTATATTATGAATTTATAATATGTAAATTTTTAAAACATTTTTGAAAATGATTTGATTTGGTTTGAAACATGTTTTAACAATCTTTGCAGAATTTAAATATAAACCTGAAGAACTTTAGGATTTAAAATTTTTTTTTTCGTATTTTCAAGAATGTTTGACATACATTGTATTTTGAGGAAATATTGGAATATGTAGAAAGTTTAAAAGTACAACGTAATACCAAAATTAATGGAGTAATATGACACAAAATCGAATGGGTTTAATTTTGTCTTCATTCACTATTCCGGATATAAAAGATATCTACAAACCAAATATGCCAATCTAATGTTTTTACTTTCACTTACCTATATATGAAATATATAGTAAGGTAAAGTATTGCGATCGTGAAAATTTTCGAATCTAAGATTTCAACGGAAGTACACATTTTGAGGTCCGCCGGGTACAAATAACCAAGTCTTACAAAATGGTCTGTGTGTGTGTGTATATATGAGCAGTCTAGCTAAAAATCGAAAAGTCTCACGAAACTGAAATTGCATATTTAAAGTATTTTTATGCTTCAGATGTTACAGCAACCTTTTCGTCAAAATTACGATTTTTTCGACAACAGCTCAAACGATTTTAGTTAAACTTGGTTTATCAATGTATAATTAAGTGATCTTTAATATATTTGAGGTCTTATCCCTATTGATATCACTTCACAGGGCTTAAATACCAGGTGTTCAAATTATCTTCCCTTAAAGTACCTTTAATTTGGTTTACTTTAATCAATTAACTATCTCTCATTGTTATGAGTTTTTAAAAAAGGCTAAATGTAACTTTTGAAAGAATTGAATAAAGGAAAAAAAAAAATGCCTATTCAGTTCGAAAATGAATCTTTGAAAGTTTGAAAAAAAGTATTTAAAATCCACCTAATCAAGGCAATGAAATATTGAAATGAAAATACTATTTCATTGTACTTGTGTGAAAAAGGAAGTGAAATATAAAAATATTTCATACATATGTTTATAACCTTAACTAAATTTACTGTAGTTTAATAACTCTAGATTTGATAATATATTTAAATAATTAGATCTCTATCGGCCGTTTATTCCGAAAAATCACTAAGTAACCTTTTAGAAAATTAAATTTGTGAATAATTTGATAAATTTCTCCGTTGTGAAATTCCAACATTATCCACTTACAATTAGTGTGACAACTTTTGACCTATCCATAGCAAGGCAATGAAAATCTCGTAATTTCATTTTAGTAAACTTTACAATGGGAAATAACAGTTCAATAACCAATACTCCTACAATCGATAATCATTTATAGGGTAAATATTCAGATGTACTTTCAAATCTTTTTAGCCATATATGAGCCTTCCCGTTGACAGAATGACTAACTCCAATTTCAACATTCTTTTTTATTAATTTTAGTGATTTTAGTGGCAAAATTTATACCCTTATTCATAGTTCTATATTTCAACACTGCAATCACCTACTCAGGAATCAATTTACTCACTGTCTGTATAGATATAACTTTTCCAACCAGAAATATCACTAAAATTATATTACTCAAAAATGTTGAAATTGGAGTAAGCCATTTTGTCAACTGAAAGACTCAGAGACTGAAGTTAAGTGGTTTATAAAAGCAGATGGAGTAACTAGATTTTTATTAACTACCAAGATGTAACAAATAGACTTTGTGTAATTTTAATGGTCTTAATGATTTATTATATGTAAGCTTTAAGCTTTAGCTCCGTTTAAAATGCACTTGAAAAAAATTATAATAGCCCATTGCCAGAAATAATTTCTATTCAATGTAGAGCGGTGAGTGAAAGTTGTGTGTTGCGCTCACCAGATTTTTTATGACGAATTACAGTTTCTCTTTGAAATGATATTTCTGTGTATTTATTAATTCATTTTTCTTTAATCGGGTTTCGAGTTTTATTAAATTTATTTTTATTTTTTACCTACCTTCTTGTATACTGGGTCATAGGGAATACTCTTCTTCTCTCCACTTTTCGAGTGAATCATCCTGCCTTTCATGGGAATGCCATGTTCCAAGATTACTCCCTCGACCCCAACACGTGAGAGAGCTTCTATACCTCTTGTGGAAAGTGCTAAGTTGATGGATCGTCCTTTTGAGAGTTTTTCAGTTCTAGGATCTGAAATAAATCGAAATTGCAGCAATTACTATAGAATTTTTCATTGTTTAAAACTTAGATTGGATTTCATTGGATTAGATTCATAGATTGGATTAATAGATAGTGTTAAATCCATCCACGGTAGTTTCTCTCTTAGGAAAGTCTCATGCCCACCTATAACGATTGCCAATAACCCAGTGCCTTCAAAGAACTCTGTACGGTACCTTGGACTCTACTTAGACAAAAGACTTACTTGGAGTATACATACGAAATTAAAAAGACAAGAACTTACTAGACGATATAGCCAACTTTCACATCTTCTGGACTACAGATCTTCACTTAACTTACGAAACAAGCGATTGATCTACAACACCTTACTGAGACCAATGTGGACACATGGAGCAGAACTTTGGGGTTCGGCAAAACAAACAGCACAATCGATAATTTTACGAAAAATTGTTAACACACCATGATACATTTCAAACACTACTATACATAACGACTTAAACACCTCAACAGTAAAATCCTACATCCACGACAAATACACTACATTTCATTCTTCAACCCAAAATCACTCCAATCTTCTGGTTCTTTCTATCTCCTCCTGCTCCCTGTTACCTGAACAACGCAGATTAGGAAGAAAATGGCCAAAAGACCTACTATAAGAACAACATCAAGAAAACACACCAGACAATATAAATACAACAATTTTGCTAGATGCGCAGCCGCGCAGGTGCAAATTGCATAGAATATAAATAAATAAATAAAAAAAATCTGTTCTTCGTACACAATGCGTTATTCACAATTTTTTAAAATTATTATTATTCAGTATTTCCGTAAGTTGAGGAAAATATTTAAAACCTTGATAGTAGACATAACGATCTACAAAAAAGTTGATATAAACAATTGCCCAATTTCCATCAGAAAAGTAGGAAATTAAAGATTTGTGTTTTTAAAGCGAGTCACGTTTTTTGTTGAATAGGAAGCGATAACTTAATATTTAATTTAGGTAAGTGAACATTGCTCCATAATAAACTAGACAAAATGTACCTTAAACGAAAGTAGAGTTTGACACTGTTAAAAATATTTAAAGAGCACTATTGAGCGGACAAACACATTTAAGTTCCGTTCAATAAAAAGTCATAAATTATTTGCGAATTTTTTTTATCACTCTTAAGTTGTACTACATTCACCCCACTTTTAGGAAAACTTCCTCGTTTAATAAGCCTCAAGTCCATATTAATTAAGTTGAGGTTTATTAGGGAAAAGTTTGAGAATCACATAAAGTTGTGTAAAGAAATGATGTGGTTTCCTATCCAGTCATCTTAAAGTACCCATATCTTCTGCAAAAGAAACCACACTTAACTGTTGCAAAGCTTTTGTTTCTATTTTTTTCCGTGATATAGGTATTGTAATAAACATAAGCCTAAAAACACATTTTATTTTAAAAAAATAAAAATAATGGTTTTTGAAATATTTTTCATGTAAGGTGATTATGAAACTGTGTTTTTCTTTCCGATTTCTGTGATAAGAATTGATGTTGTGACAAACATAACGAATTATTGAAGGAATTCGTTAGTTCATCCTGTACTTGAATACCTTCAGTGCTCGAAACGCGCCCCCACATTTTTCGGTTGAAACGTCGAGACCAATAAAAACTTTATTATGACTGCGTCCTGAATATTTATCGCCTACAAACTTAACGTTTCTAGCCGTAATATTTACGTTTTCATGAAAATAATTGAAGCAAGAAGCAGGTTTCTTTATTTTAAACTCAAATCTTAGTAAGAAACATTAAGTTTGTCACTGATAAATACTTATCAATGCCTGTGACGCAGATCTGGGAGAAAAAAAAAGTCATAATTACTACGTGACATTTAAAAAAAAAAAAAAATCAACATTTTTAGATTTTGTATTTTTATAAATAAAATGTGTTGTCCTCTCTCTTAATAGTTTGAACAATGACAAACTCTACTTTTGTTTAAAGCAAATTTTATCTAATTTACTATGGATAATTACTTAAATCAAATATTTTTTACATTTTTTACGTTATCGCTTCCTATTAAACAAAAAACCCACTAAAAAAAAAAAAAAAAAAAAAAAAAAAAACTTAAATTTCATACTGTTATGCTGGAATTTGGGCAATTATTTATATGTACTTGTATGTAGATCTTGATGTCTACTATTAAGGTTTTAAATATTTCTCTCTACTTACGGGACGCCCGCCCTTGTATATCAACCAACATATTCTCTTTTGTTTAAAATATTTCTTGCTTCGCTGCCCACAGTGGAGGACACATTGAATGTTTTCATGAAAATACATTTATTTTTTCGTTATCTCAGCCTGGTATCTTTAATATATTATTTCCCAAAGGAGTTTATTTTTATTCACTACGCCATATCTTCGTCTAGTGTCCGTCAAATACAATGATTAAGCACTCATTTTGAAGATCATCTACTCTTTCAGGTGGGAAAAATAGTCACACCCCTTAGAAATTTCAGGAAAAAAAATTATGAAGAAGAAATAATATTTTTCTTATTATTACTAAATTCGATGCAAAAAACAAAACAAAAAAAACACATCGAAATCGGACAATTGTTAACAAAGATACAGCCTATAATAATGCACACATGTTTTTGTTTATTATCATAAATGCAATAATTTGATTCTATTGAGAATAAGATAATTATTTCTTCTATCTTATAATACATTGCACTAACTTATTACTATATTATATTGTCAATCGTTTACAAACCAATATAATATGCGCATTAGTCACTGGACCCTATTAGTATTATTAAATTTTATTAAGAGAGAATTTCTTTCATTCTACCCAAGTTATACATTTTTCAATAATAAACGCAGTTAACACACAGTAATTAATAAGGTCCCATTATTAAGACCCGTTATATCAAGTGTATCTCTCCGAATTTATGAGTACGGTTCTGTCAGCAGAACCGTAGCCGTATCATTAAAATGGGCAAAAGGACCCATTTTAAGAATCCAGTAGCTTACACCCATTAAATTTCCGATTCCTTCATCAAGATAATTTAAAAACAAATATAACGTAATATAAAAACATTCCCCAAACAAAAAAATAAATAAAGCTGTGGCGATAAATTAAAGTAGTTAAAGAGAAAAAGGCAAACCTTAGGTATGGTGTCCTTACTGATAGATGATTGTTCCCTGGACATTAAGTACCTTCCTAATTTTCCACTCATTATTTCAGTCAGGTTTTCCGTAAAGAGTGAAGCAAAGCAAACATACAAGGAGAAAATATCGAAACAAAAAATCTATGAAATATCCTTAATTTTAAAGGAATGAAAAAGTGCATGAGAAAACAATTTTAACTTTTTAAAATTTTTAGCCGTTCTGAAAATCTTTAACGAAAATTTAAGTACTGCGAAATCTCCATATTATAGTTTGTTTGTTTTGATATCAAGGCTCAAAACTTCCATGTCATCAGCGCCCGATCAACTAAAACACTATGTTTATACTGATCAGGTGGTTGGTAAAAAAAAAAAAAAAAAAAAAAAAAAAAAAAAATGGATACGAAAATAAATATAAAAGAATTAATAGAATAAAATAAATAAATAATGATAATAATAGACACTTATAGATAATAAGATAAAATAGATAAATAAATAAACTAAAAAAAATATCAATAAAATTAATAAATGAATTAACATTAATAAATCAATGAACTTTTAAAATAAAAAAATAAATAATAAATAAATCTGCAAAGGATCATTACTTATAAACTTGTCATACATGTTTTATAATTTTTTCAATGTCTAGGAACTTTGGTAAGGGTATTCCGTGATCTTTCGTTCCAAAACATGTTTTATAGTTAATGACTGGTCAAACTTATGACATTCGGGGATAAGATCTTTTATTATGAGGTGGAGGTGTGTCAGTCTAGTATGTCCGATCCTCAGCCGCGTGAGGACGACTTCTTTTCTACGACTGCTGCGTTTGGAGCTGCTCCACGGTTGCACCTTTTTCTTTATTGTCTTTAATTTGCTAACTGCGCTAATTTGCATACATACATACACACACATACATACATACACATACCCACACTCAAACACACACATAAACTTACTATATATATATACAATTCCATCCAGCTTATTGAATGAGAGTACAATATGTTACATATTCGTAGAACTATAATCATTGTATAATGTATGTATTTAAATATTAAATATTTATTTAAATATTCAAATGTATCTATTTAATTATTTATATATTTTCAGTAATTATTCTTACCATTTCTAAAATCGTAAATGTGCACTTCATGGCCTCGCAAACCAAAATAACAGGCGCACAGCGAGCCGACCTTAAAAAAAAGAAAAGAAAAATTGTTATCGTAATATTAACAAAAAAAAATAATCTTTTTACAATTATTAAAAAAAAATAATAAAGTAATATGTGAGAAATCGGAAACAATCATCATGGGCGTATTTATTCTGAGGGGTGCAAGAAACTATAAGCTGCCCTCATCATCCCAACAATGAAAATATTTTTTTTAAGTTTAAATTGAAAAAACAAAATAATTTTAGGAAAAATTTATTAATACCGACAGGTTCTTTGTGACTTTTTCAACATTCTGATAGAAATTAATTGTCACCCTATTCATAATTTCCAGTTTCGGCTACGGTCTTGAAAGTCAGCATGTTAATTACGGCAGCATATTGGCATAGTCAGTATTTATCCTGTCAAAAAGCTGCCAAAAGTCTAGGTTTTGGAAAAACATACAAAAAACTATACATATATACCTTTTTTTTTCTGAGTTGGATTATACCTAATTTAGGTTGGTATGTATAATCGGTTCTTCAAATCCACTTGAACGTTCCTTCAAAAAGGAATACTTTAATTAAACTCAATGAAAAAGGATTTTTTTTCTGCCAATTTTAATATAATGCCATTTTGATGTTTCTTCTTCTTCTTAAGTTTGGAGGGAAAATGTCTTAAAAGTATTGAGTAAGTAAAGGATGTAATGGGTCGTTTCAATTGACAGTAACTTTATTGTTTTATAAAACCGTCACTGTAATCATATTGGCTGAAAGAAATCCTTCTTGATGTAACGTACAAGGGGTATTAGAGGATCGAAGATGCATATCTCTTTGTTTGACCATTTAAGTTAAGATAGTTAAGAAAAAAATTAGTCTAAACTAGAATTACACTATCTCGGATGAATGAGTACAATAAATTAATTAACGATAAAAATAACAGAAAAAAAATTATATTAAGCCAGAAATCAATTCAACAGTCGGGGGGAAAGTAACGCAATGTTAGGACATGCTGAAATTAGATCTAGTATAAAACTTAATTTGTTACTTTCTAAGACGGCATTCCTGAAAATGAAAGGAGGGAAATAAGGAAATTACTTTGTAATACATTCTAAAGGGAGAAAATGAATTTGTTTATTTTTAATTTCTTTTTATAATTTAAAAAATATTGTTTTCTTTTAGTTCTTAATTGATGGCATCGCAATCGCACAACCAGTCATGGAAATTTAATTGTAGATAACTACATGTGCATACTTATATATGTATGCATATTTATATATGTATGCATATGTAATTGTGCAGTTTTACATAAACACGTAAAAGTGAATTTTTACTTGGTTCATTTCTGTTAGGGAACGAGATGAGTTGTTTTTATTTGGTGGCTCCCATATTTCACAACCATTATATTCTTAACAATTATTTATATTAATTGTAGATGTTCAATGGAATTCAATGAAATTTATAAAAGACAATTTTTAACCTGTTCTCCACATTTCTTTCAAATTTTGGGTCCAGTCGAACGAGCCTTTTTCAAACTATAAGCATGTCAAAAACAATACGTTTACAGATTCGAAAACGGAAGTAGTTGATAGAATTAGATGAAATTGATACCTACTTGATCATCTGTTTATCAATCCTTAACTTATCATAATTTATCTCAAACTTAACTAGAACGAGCTGCTTCTAAAATATTGCAATATATATGAAAATACTTTTGCGCGTGTATAAGTGAAAGTATTGGATGAAATTGACTACCCAGGTACTAACCCAAACAATCTCTGAAAATTTTATGAAAATAGGATAAACGATAGTTTGTGATATGCACGTTGATTTTACTAGAGACAGAAATCTAAACAAATTTGATCCTTGATGTCTGAAACGTAAAACACGAGTGGAAATTTTCTATTATGTGAATAACATGCACATGGTGTTGGCTAACTTGAAGCTTACTTCACACTTTTGGAAAACAATTATATTTTTTAAAGAAACTAACAGCTGCTTCACACCAGTTAACCAGGAAATAGATTATCCAATAAAAAAGTCACTGGAAGCATAATTGGTTGAAGAATCTCATCTCCATTCACGGATCCGGAAACATTAGCATAAAGCGAGAAGATAATAGATCAAGGTTAATTTTTTCCGTGATCTGAACGAAATTCTATTCTCACAATCACAACCGTTTACAGGGATTGAGAACATCATTGTAAAAACTCCAAACTGTAAATGATATTCCGTTATTGAAAATGTCGCATTTCGGTCTATTCATGTGAAGGAAAACGATTGCAATTGTACAAATGAAGTTATTATCTTTTAAGATTAATACGTTTTCAACACATCGACATAGGATTATTTGGATGTCAATGCGTTTAAAACTTGTATAAAATAAAGATAAATCTATAACCTTCCATATCAAGTAGGTTGATGAGGTATTATAGTGTGTTAGATATGCTGGAGTTCTTATCCTTGAACTCTCTCATTGTAGAGTATTATATTCACAAGCACAGGCAGATCAACGGAGGAGGGGCTTTCGGGCTGAAGCCCCCCCCAAATGGTAAAATATGAACTATAGAAATATAGTTTTATAGAAAAAAATATTAAAAATTACCTCTTAAAGTATTATTGTTCGTGTAATTACATTTAAAAGGACTTCAAGAATCACGTAAACACTATTTCATATAGATAGTCAATTTCTTCATTTTTTTCAAATTAATTATCGTTTTATATAAATGAAAAAAAAAAACATCTTTCAGGCTGAAGCCTTCCCCCCAAAATTAAATCCTGGATCCGCTAGTGTTTACAAGGGTTGTTCAGGGCTAGCTAGTCCTTTTTAGTTTTACTACGTACCCAGTGATACATCTCAGTGATTCTAGGGTGACATACAGAAGCATAAACTCGTCACCGTACAACAGGTCAGGTTGAGTTAAGTTATGTGTCACTTTTTTTTTCTTCTCTTTCCTCGATACCCCTATGTCGCCATTTCAGGAATATGGAGGGTTGTTCTAGAAATACCTATTCCAACCAAACCTATTCTAACCAGAATATGAAGGTAGAGAATTATTCCATTGGACCACAACTAAATAAATATTAACCCATCTAGGCCGGATTCGAACTGGCGTCGTTAGACACGTGAATACTATAAAGTTTGCGCTTTAAACACGCTCGGCCATCAAGACCTCATGAAGGAAAAAAAATGTATTCGATAGTTGTCGCCTGATTACCATACTCCACTACAGCTTCCCCCATACTCCACATACCATGGAATTCCAATTACTCTCAGTCGGAACAAGATTCCTGGTTGAAATAGTAGTTTTCCTTCCGTCAGGATAACGAATGCGGTCATATTTCGCAACGCATTCTAAGAGTTGTTCTCTCCTTAAAAAGAGGGTCATATTTAAAGTGACGGATAAGCTATTTCAGAAATACTGGTCCACAGCTCATTGTAAGAACTCAAGCTACAATCATCAAATGATGGCTGTTTCATTCGAATCTGGGAGAGGTATTTTGAAGTCGATGTTAAGTCGCACGAACAGTGAATTGACTTTAATCGATTTCCTTGATGTTTGAAAAATTGAGGCTTTATTTCAGTACAGAAGGAAGAAAGGTAAAGTTTTACTACGTGCCCAGTGATACATCCTTGTGATTCCAGGCTAACATACAGAACCCCTGTAATTTCTGAAGTTGGCTCATTTCATTCGTTCCAGAGCCGCTGCTTTAAAAATGGCGGCAGATTTAAAGAATATTAGGCCAGTAATTTGAGGATCGATACGAGAAATCCATTGCGAAAAATGTGAAAAAAAATTTATTTTTTTAATTTGTACATATGGGTTTAGAAATGTTAAAAACCAAATTGCTAACGCAGGCCACCATGGAAAAACTTTTCACAGTCAAAAAAGTAATATTTTTTTGTTTTTTTACCTATAACTCCTAAACGATGCATCGAAGCGGAAAATGTATCATTTTATAAATTAAATAACATTAAATTGATCGTCGAATGAGTACATAAATTTTATAATTTGGTTACGTGGTAAGGTATAAAAAGACGGCCAAACAACGCTGATTTTTACCAAAATTATCAAAAACTGAGACAATTTATCATAAATGGCCCTGTAACTTGGAGATGAATTTCCTAAGAGGAAAACCACATAAAATCAAAGTTGGAGAGCATCAAACTTTGCGTTCACTGAGTAGTGACATTTTTATTGGATTCGATGGATTTTCTGCTTCGATCCTCAAATTACCGGCTGAATATTACGCCATTTTTTAAAGCAGTGGCTCTGGAATGGCAGACAAGGTTCTTTTTACTCAGAATAACATACATTTTCGTAATTTATAATCAAAGCTTTGCCTGCGGTGAGGATTTGGAATTTGGGAATTGGCTTCAGGGCTGGCAGAATACCTGATCAGAAAGAACAGCAGCTACGTTCAGGAACCGTAGTTCATTTGACCGGACTATACCCAGTGTCTTAAGAAAAGCACGCACGGTAGCGCTCAAGTTTTTTTCAAGTATTTATTTTCTCATTATGCTTATAACTAAACCTTCATATGAGATATTTCTTTAATCACAAACCTTTGAATCATCTAAAAATCTAAGTTAGAACAAAAGAGGAGATCTGGTGCACTATTTGTCACATATGATTTCACATTAAGATGCTCACTGAGCATTGCTCAGTTGTAAACTTTTTTCATTGCTAGGAGTATGGAGAGGGAGATGTATAAGTGAAATCTTCATTTTTAAATTGTTTTCATTTCTGTCATTAGCTATATATATATATAAAATAAGGTCAGTGTTTTTATTTAATCTATAAAACAAAGGTTTATTGCTAATAGGATTCGTAATTTATTTAAATGATTTTAAATTCCTGTATTTTTTTCAGCGTGTTATAAATTTGTTTTGTATTACTATTATTATTGTTGTGAATTATTAGTTAATACTGTGTTATTAGTTAAAAATAGATTTTTTATTTTAAAGCATAACTACGCTATAAAACTATTTCACTTAATCTATTATCACATTACCACAGGCGGATCTACGGAGGGAGGGCTTTGG